AATGAATTTTTAATACAATTATTTGTTATTTCATTAATTATAATAGATTTTACATTTAAGTTGTTAAAATATTATAAAATTAGTTAAAAGTCAAGACAGGCTTTCATAAGTGTCCTTATGAGATAGATCTTTTTTTAGCGCGTTGTAAATTGTATCATTTTGACTAATCAGAAGATCCCCAGTAATTAAGAAATGTAATTTTTGCTTATAATCGAGCTGTAATTATAAAATACGGAAGACCAACCAGAATATAATTAAGTTGCGTTATTTGAGTTAAGCATTGTTCTCCGCTGTTAAGGCCTTTACTTTTTATGAAACACGTGTGGAGAAGTTAATTTGATTTTTCACTTTCAACTGAGAAGGGTACCTACAAGTATCAGTATCATCTTATGAAATTTATATGATCTTATTTTTATATTAATCTCAGTTACGACATTTTTTTCCATAAATGAAATATCAAAATTAATAATAAAATGAATGCAAATACAAATAAAAGTAGAATGTAATAAATGTACATAAAATTATAGTATTTTATGTACAATTCTGATAAAATTTCATAAGAAAGGTACCTATAAATTAATTAGATACCTTTCTTAAGAAATATGAAATTTAATGTCACTCTTAACAGTTTTATTTTAATTTCTTTAGAATATATTTCCCATAAAGCATCATAAACGTAAAGGTGAAAGCTAAGTACAAAAAAAAAAATTAGACCGCTGAAAGTTTTCGTTAAAAATAACGGGTAAATAATTTGTTCACGTAAATGTAAATTATTTCACTTTTCTCCATCCGTAGAACAAATTAGCCTCATGGAATTCGTAAATATATCATTCATCACATGTCAAGAGACGTGAAAGTTTATGACCTGCTTTTGTTTTATTTTCAAATTACATCTTTTTGGCACAAAAAGCTAAGTTAAGTTTGGTTCAAAATATTTTAAATAAACATTATAATTTCTGATTTTCTTAAAATAAGTTTTGAAAAAATGATAATTGATATTTTAAAAAATTTCAAAGTCAGATTTCCAGTTTTTTTTAAAATGGAAAAAATGGTCAATTTTGCTGACTCAAAAAAAAAACAAGATTTTTAACGAAAATTTCGGACGTGCTAGGAACGATTAAAAAATGGAAAAAAATACCCCAAAAATACTTTGACCTTTCCTCTTAATAACAAACATTTAGACGATAAAATTTTGTTTTCGTCAAGTTTGGCGTCTTTTTCATCATGCTATGCTCTTTTTTTAGCGATCTCGTGGAGGTACCTATGTAAAATGCATTTTAAAATGAAAAATATTTCTTTAAGCTTTTATTGTAGATTGATTTCAATCTAGTAGTTTAAATGATAAGCAAACAACTTTGCTGTATTTCAAGCAGAATTTAAACTGACTGGAATGATTTTTTTTTTTTTTTTTATACGGTTCTAATTTCATTTTTATAAATATGTCTTGAAATATTCATTAAAATCTGACATATATCTGATTGTTTATTCATTACTAGCAGTGGAGCCCAGCATTGCCCAGGGATGTAACAGTAAGAGAGATCAAGTATCGACCATCATAAAGACTGAAAAATAAAATTGACAAAGATTATTGCTTAAGGTTGACGGGCATGCATGTCTTAATTAGATTTTTTTTGTTTTTTTTTTTTTACGAATTGGTCAAACCCAAACTCAAAAAAAAAACATTGTTTTCAATCATTATGAGTCTATCGATTGAATAGAATTTTATTATAAACAATTGTCTTGTAAATGGAATTTTTAAAGCATTCTGAATGTAAAAATAAAGAAAAAAGTGCGCAAGACAATAAGTAACACTGCCTGCCCCCCCCAAAAAGTGAAGTTTTGTTGAAATCGGTTGAAAAATGTAGGAAATCTGATCCCATATATAAACGAACACACACAAACAACCTGGGTTTTATAAGTATAACTCGATATGAGTTGTCTCCCTTTCATTCTGGCGACAGTGATGCCTCTTAATCGTGTTTTCAAATTGATTTCATGAAAAAACAATTGTGTTTTTCCAATTTTTGGCGCTGTCAGAACCACCACAAGGTAATTTTACACAGTCCTGTGAAGATTTGTTGAAATCAGTTGAAAAATGTAGGAAATCTGATCCAATATATAAACGTACAGACACACACACAATCTGCATTTTATAATAAGTAAGATGAAAATTAAATGATGACATTGTAGTCGTAGGTGGGCAACCTTTCTCTCCTGCTTCCCAATATTTTTAGACTCAGTCTGCCACTGCTTTATATGTTTACCTTTCAGTAGCAGCATTAGATTTGCTTGTTTGTATACAATTGGCGATATTATTTTAATTTTACTATTACCCCCCCTCTCATCATTGACTAATGTTGTGCTTAGACACTACTGTGGTAGGTGTAAGTAAAAATTAACGCAGTTGGCTTTTGTTTAGTTTTAATTGTTTGTAAATATTGTCCTATCATTTTACAGTTGAAATGGCTAGCTCGATGTAAGTGCAAGTTCTATGTTAATAGTTTCTTCTCTCACACTTCTCGTTTGTGGAATTCTCTTCTGGATGTCTTGCTTCCCAGTCAACCTTGATCTTCAAAAATTGAAATACAATGCCAATAGTTATCTTCTACCTCCTTCTTTTGTTTTCTCTCTTTAATTAATGTTTGTTTGTTTTTTCCTCATTCTCTAAGACTTGGTACCCACCACCCTTGTGTCTTAATGGCTTTAATGTCTTACTTTGGATAAAAAAAATGATTTTTTTTTTTTAATTTATTCACTGGAGTTGGTCAAACAAAAGTTTCTGTTATGAATTTATCTTTCCAGTAAGTAAAGTGAAATCACTAAAAATAAAAAAAATCAGCATACCATAATGAAAGCATGCTCCAAACTTAATGAAAACAGTTTTATCGTCAAAATATTTATATTAAGAGGAAGGATCAAAGTATTTTTGAATATTTAATGAAATTTTTTTTTTTAATTTTTAATGTTCAATGTTTTAATAGAACATTCAAAATTTTGATTAAGAAACTTGCTTTCTTGTGTCAGCGGTTGTACTTTTAAGCAAATTTTTCCTTTTTGGGGGTGACACATTAATTTGAAAATTCTTGCAAAAATCAAATAATAGTCAAATTTTAATTAAATTTTCAAGAGTGATTCACAAATGAAATTATTTTTATAATTTATTAGAAAATCTTGGTAAAAAAAAAAAAAATCTCTAATTTTTTTTTTTTTTTTTTAACATTTGTTTCACTTAATTTTAAATAGAAAACTTGAGAAATTCAACGTGAATTTTACTTAGCTACAAAGGAAGCCCTTGGTTAGCAACGTTGAATTGCTAAACCAGACGCTTCCTCTGTAGCTAAATGGTACAGCACGTCAGGCTATGACGGTACCACATAGGATACAGGTTCGATTCCTGTCAGAGGACACTAATTTTTATGAAATTTCTCGGACATTCAGGCCGATACATAAAGTAAAGAAAAAATTTTAAAAACAGACGAAAACAATTACTGACAATGTTTCGTCAAAAAATAAATAAATACATTAGTTTTACCGACGATTATTAAACTACATTTTTTTTTTTTTTTTACTTTATGACATGCAATATATGCACTATTATCAGAATTGAAGTGGCATTTTAAAAGAAAAACAAACAGCTTTTTAAAAGCCTTTTCTAGGGAAAAAAATTAGAAAATCACTGAATAACATCATTTACAGCTCCTTAATATAATTTAGAGACTGATTTAAAAAAAAAAAAAAATAAAAATTGACTGACAACTTACTATTTGGAGCTGAAAAGTTTTCGGCCCAACCCAAACAGATTTTTTTTCGAAACCTCTTTGTACACAATATGTTTAAACTAAATAAATAAAATAAAATTATTCTTTTTAACGTAACACAAAAATTTCATTATTTTTTTTTATCAATCATGTTGTAAATCCTAATTCAACACGATGAGTGAAAAAAAATTAGCCATTCATTACGTATTCTTTATATTTTACTTATATACACATTAGGTTTAAAAGTAAATATAGCAGGTAAAAAAAATAATTCGCATACATGAACAGGTGTTCGATTGTTATATGATTCGACCAAACTATATTTTTAAACGTAAACAAACAAAAAATGTGTTCAAAAGTCTACGTAAAGTTAAGAAAGAAAAAACATCAAATACACAATAATGAACATCTTATTTAGTTGATTTCGTATAAGACCTACTTGCTCGTTGATCCTGTAAAGGTATTAAAATTCAATAACGTGAAAAAGCTATCCGCTGAAATTTCCTGCCACACGTTTTATTGCTCTGTGTTTATTTCGATGATACGATCGTCAACGTAAGGAATGGCGCCAATATTTGAATGCGAGAACTGAAGCTCTAGCTGCATTCTGATTGGTCAATATTAATATTTAGCTATTAACCCCCCATTTCACATCTCGTTCCTGATTTCGTTGACTTACTTATTGGTTCCTTTTACTACTTTTAAATTAATTAAAGCGCTGAACTTGAACTCTTTCTCCCAAATTAATTCTCCTATTTGCAACGCAAAATTCATTAATATTTTAAATACACAAGAAAACTACATTTTTTTTAGCTACTTCAAGCATGATTAGTGACAGAAAAAATCCACACAAGCAGGCAGTCCCAGATTTGTAAGTCTTCAAGAATTCCATGGTAGTTGATTTGGTAGAATACGTGCATTAACTGTCCCAATGAAATCTGACTTTTATTTCTGGTACCATAAAGCATAAAAAAGAAATGGCTAAAAAAGTAAAACAAAAGTATGATCGTGAACGAACCAAAGCGTCATTTTTTTTTATCCAATAAAAAACCCTAGTAAAAAAAATATTCCCAAATTGAGATACGAGAAACTCTTGGACGTGGACGGATCTATTTTTAATCCCAATTCACAATTTGTAAATATATGAATTAATAATAATAAAAAAAAAGTTAAGTAACACCTTTCCAATGACATGTTAAAAACAAAAGTTACGACCATTTTTTTTTTTTTTTTTTTAAATTATTCTGTTTTATTTTTTTTTTCAATTTGCATTTAAAAATAGCGGTAAAGAGAAAAATAGAGTTTATGGTTCGTTAGGTTATAAAATTTCAACTTGAGTCAAAAAAAAAAAAAATGTCCTTTTTTTTTTAAGAGCGGTCAGTCTCTACACACTTCAAATTCAGATAAGTAAATAAAAAAGTATGTATATAAAAAAAAAAAGACAAAATTAAAGAAATAATAAAAGAAATGTAAATAATAAAATTAATGTAAATTTGAAAACCTATACCAACGCGTTTCGTTCCTTTTTTTTAAAACTTAGGACGCTTTGCTGGTTAGCAAACCGCACGTGTCTCGATTACAGGTGAATGGTGAATTCGATCCTCACTGGGTGCTCCATACTATTAGTCTTGTGCCACATGTAAGTAAATCGCTATTTAAATTATTATAAAAATAGAAAATACAACAAACGACCAGTTAGTCCTGGGTCTGAGGTTCTGACATGAACCTATGAGCGGTATGTAGACTTTTTACCTTTTTTTTTTTTTTTTAATAATCACTTTCTTCATTCAGATTTAATTCAGACATGTGTGAATAAAATTCAGGTTTCCAAAGATTGTATGTACGAAATTATTATTTTTCAGTCTAAAAATATATATATAAAAAAAAAAACTTAAAAAAAACTACGAAACGACGGCTTTGTTTATTTTTCTTAAGAAAGAAAATAAAAATCAAGTGAATTGTTTGTGAAAGAAAATGGCGGAGTCAAGCGGCAGTTTGATTGAAGTTACGGCTCCGAGCCGTCTTCAAATTACGAAATGGAAAGTTCGAAAAGGCAGCAAAGTAGCTCAAGGAGCCGTGCTTGGATTTTACAAACTCATCAACTCTGATGATCCTGAAAACCGGGATAAAATTAAACACGAGAAAGAGATTGGGACACAATTGTCTTCGCCTGACAACCAACTTCACAAGTTGAAAGCAAGTCATGTTGGAACTGTTTTTGAAATTGTTGCTGAGGAAGGACAAGAAATTGTCGAAGGGTAAGCAAAATAATTTAATTAATTTTCCTTTCAACTCTGAGAAAAAATTGGAAGAGTGGCATATTAATTTTACATTCTGTTATTAATTTTCATGATAAAATTGTTTTTTACGTAAAAAATAAACATTAAATAAATGCACTAAATTATTCCAATTCTAAATGATAATTCAAAATACACTTAAAATAAAACATTGTATCAGTTCCGTAATAAACTTTTAAAGTAAGATCAATCTCGTGGTATTTAGCCAAAACAAGAACTTGACCCAGTTTTTCAATGTACGGAAGCACAGTTAAGTAATAAAAAATGTCTTTGCGCTATAATTAAAATCTAGTGACTGATTTGAAGTTCTTGTCTGTGTTTCACCCCAAACAAGGTAATAATGCCACCAGGATGCAAGTGGTTACTTACTGGGAGTGAAAGAGAAGAAGATTTTGAAAGGAGGAGAAAGAACAATTTAAAAGACAAGAAGACTCAGGAAACTTAAAATTTTTAAGTTTCCTGTGTCTTGTCCTTAAATTTTAAGTTAAAATGCTCATGAATTGTTTATAAATGGCTTTTTATTTACTAATAATACTTATTGTTTTTAACATCATAGCAGAATATTTTAAATTGAGCTTTTAATTTCTATATGTCTGTAAGTCGCTTTTTCTAAAAAATAAAAACAAGTAGTAGCCGAATATTTTAAAAAAATATACTGAAAAGTGAGAATGTAAATATGTTTTTGATAAGCTTTGAGGATAATCTTTTTACTATTATTGTCCTCTGGCCTTAATTGGCACATGCTTTCTAGTTCATTGGTCTCCCAATGAAACTTCTTGTCCAAAATGTTTGTTTGGTTTATGGTCTTTTCTGCCTACCGTACATTTTTAGTCTCAGGCATAGCAAACGAGAGTGACCTCCCTTTGTTTTGATGGCGTGGTGTTATCAAATTTTATATTATATGAGAAAATAAACCTTTCCGTTTCGCTCTTAACAAAAAAAAATCACATTTATTTGTATTTTTTTTATTGTTCTTATATTTTCTCATAAAAACGCAATACAGCAATAAATAAATCGGATCATTTGATTTATTTTTTTTAAAAGATACAGTGTTTGTATGAATTGTTATGGCGGGTATCAAGTAATTTAATTTGTAATAATTATCATAAATAACATTTTAATAAAGTAAATGGTGACGATATAAGTTATGTTTAAATGTTTGGGTATTGTTGATTTTAACACGAGAAACAATTTTTGCATAACAAACACTGAATTAACGTCTTTTACATTGCCATCAGATGTCCTTGCTTTTTTTACCTGGTCTCATATTCTAATGTCGATGTCGGTACCACCAAAATGGATGCTTTTTTCCGAAATGGAAACAAGAAAAATCACTACTCCTCGTTTCTAAAAAAAAAAAAATACCAAAAATCAAGTACTTATATAATTCAAACGAAATTTTCAGTACTTATTCATTAATAAAAGAATTTATGCCGAATAGGTTTTTTTATTAGAAAGCTTTGTGGAGATATTCGTGGTGGGGTCTGATTCACTCCACTTTCGATTTCACAATACATTTTCTGTAGTTGAAACCATAAAATTGTGTTCAAATTATTTGGGCATTAAATAACCCATAGAAGTGTTGACATGCCATTAAGCAAAATCAACCAATCAACTTTCCAGTCAATTTAAATTAGATTTGTTGAAAAAGTATTTTATTTTTATTTTTGCATATCGGAAATATTAAATTTAAAAATCTATTAACTTGAAATTTAAAACTAAAATAAAAGCTTTATTTTTCATTTTTAAAAATTCATTTAAAACCTTGGGTATCACATTTCTGTGGAAGTACTTAGTTTTCTTTTAAAAGTAGTTTTTTCATACGATTTAGTACAGAAGACACTAAGCGCTGTACCTTGATTAGTCCCCTTAAATCTTTTTTTTTAACTATCCTCATGCTTTTTTTTATGCATCTGAAAGGCAATATGCTTCATTAGTAAAAACTGAAATAAAATTTAATTCCTATAAAGAAAGATTAATAATTAATTTATACAGTTTAATATTTTCAGCCTATAAGCTCACCGAATCAGAGGAAAAGAGTGTATAAATAAGGAATTCTGGGAACTTTTTTTTTTTTTTTTTTCATGCTTTATAGGATGAGAATAATAATTCTTGGCTAGCACTACTTCAGTTTCACTGCGTCATGCATCTGTACACTGGATATACATATTGGCTCAGAATATGAGGCTAGTTAAAAAAACAAAATAAAGGTGAATGTAAAGAAGACAAATTGATGTTTGTATGTATATTTAATATATATATACAAACATCATTTTTTATTTTACTATATTATCTCAGCACTCAGTTGTCTGGAGTATAAAGCCACAGCCTCACCATAGTTGCTGCAGCTGTGGTTTCTATAGTAAGTACTGTTTTATGAAGAGTTGTTAGCCCCAGACTGAACTGGTTTTGAATTCATTGATGTTGTTAGCCATAATAGGCTACTGCCCAGGGCTTAGAGAACCCAGTCTGCTTTACTATTTAATGGAAATCTTTATTTATATATATATATATATATATATATATATATATATATATATATATATAATAATTAGAAATGTGGCAGTTTAGTTTTAATCTTTATCTTTACAAAGAACATTAATACAGTTCCACAATTTACCTGAAAATCATTCAGGAGTCTCTAAAACCACAAATGCCTGCTTGGATCTATAGTAGGTACCTCACTTTTTCACAGAAAACAGCACAGCGTAATGAAAAAGGCTACAATAAATAACATTTTATCATCAAAATGTTTGTTATTATTAAGATGAAAGACCAAAGTATTTTTTGATTATTTTATTTATTTTTTCTTTTTAAATTTTTAATTCTTTCTAACACATTCAGAATTTTGGCTAATAATCTTGTTTTATTTGTCATGGGGTGGCATAATAATTACATTGATTTGGAAATTTGTGTAAAAATCAAATAATTGTCAGATTTTAATGAAATTTTTTTTTTTTTTTTTCAAACTTTCGCTATTCTAACTGAAAATCTGCTGAATTAAAAAATAATAAATGCAATAAAACTATGGCATTATTTAATTATAAAAGCTTTTAATTGCTTTTGTAAATAAGTTATATTAAGGACACTATTGTCTGAATAAAATTTTTCCAATGAATAATGAATTTTTGCAAGAATTTTCTCAATTTTTTTTAAAAGCTTTAATTATAATAATTTATAATAGTTTAAAAATCGTGTAAAATTCTGTATTGAGCTATTTCCTGGATATGATATAGTAACTAAAAAATATATCTTGTATATAAGTGGAAACAAAATTTACAAATCTAAAATTGTAAAGATTAATAAACGTAGTCTTACTATTTTATTTTTAAATTATTTTTTTATTTATTTATTTTACTTAATTCATTCCCTTTTTTTCATCTATGGAAGGCTAAACGTCGTGTTCTTATGAAAAGGTCACGTGATCTAAGGGTTTTTTCCATTTACAGAGAAATTATTATCATATAATATTTTAAAATTTTTTATTTTTGCCTAAAGCATCTTCGAAAGGTAAATAAGTCAATAAAATATTAGATAATTGTGGAAAATATGTTCATTTGTAAAGATTACTTGTAGCTAAAAACCAAAAAAAATACGTTCACTTAGATTTCGTAAATTTATGTCAATTCTGGTCATCCATAAGACCTGTTGTCAACCTTGAAAACTTACCGATACTTCAATAAAGATCAAAGACAGATAGGACACATCGTTAAGAAATGTTTGTATATTACTTTTTTATGATATAAGTGATATTTATTTCAAATCAGATTAATTTAAATTAAATTTTATAATTTTACTCAAATAACGTGTCAGATTTTGGAAGAGTTTTAAAATCGATAAATTTTTTTGTTTACAAATTTCTTAAATTATGAAAATGGCCACTTTTAAGAAAATTTGAAGAAGTTAAGCAAATATTTTACTTACTGGAAATATTAAATTTAATCCTTTAGCTTTCAATTAAAGCTAAAAATGAAATCTTCAAGAATGTTTTTCATTTTTCAAAATTCCTCTTAAACCTTAGGTATCAAAAATTTATGCCAAAAAAATGGCAGTACCTAGTCTATAGTACTGTGTGTAATATGCAGTAATTTTAGAAATAATTGTTAGCAATGGCAGGTTTGATTAACATGATCTTGTTGCAATGTTTTAAAAAGAAAAATGCAATTAATAAATTTTCAGGTGATATCTATGTTCTTCATTTAAACTTTTTTTTATTCTTTTCCTTTTAAGGTCAGTCGTTCTGCAAATTAAAGGCTGCAGCCACCCGACAGTCATGAAGGATATGTGTGCAGACTGTGGAGCTGATCTCCGCACGTAAGTACTGCTGTGAAAAAAAAATATATATACCAGCTTCAATCAAAATGAGTGACAGAACTAATTTCAACATGGAAGTAATTTTAACTCTATTTAAAACCCTTAACCCTAACTCTTAGTTCTGAGTTGAAATTAGTTCTGCACCCCCATCAAAACTCTAGAAAACGGGTTCTTGCAACAACCAAGAAGGGGGTTTCAAAATAAATTTTCATCTTTGGTCAATCAGATTTTGGGAAGTGAATCCGGCTAAAAAGTATTTGACAGCACCTCCCTACCCCCGTGTATTTACATGATTATACTGGGTATAAAGTGGGGGACTGGTTTTCTGTTGCTATTAAGTGATAAACTAATCATCCGCAAGAAATACTACAAATAGCAATATTGCGTTTTTGTGGCAAAAAAAAAACATTAATTTGAAAATTTTTGCAAAAGTCAAATATGTTACAGATTTTGATAAAACTTTCAGGACTTATTCACAAATGAATGAAATTATTTTAGAAATCCTTGATAAAACAATATTTTATATATATATATATATATATATATATATATATATATATATATATATATATATATATATATATATACTAGTGAGCCAGACAAACCTACCTAGGTTTCACCTAAACGGATCGTCAGGGAAAGTTTGGCTCTCACGGTTGTATTGAGCTCTTTTGTTAGTTAGTTGTTACTCGTATCAGGGTTTTTTTTTTTGGGCTTCAGACCTGCATCTGTGCGATTTTTTTTGTCGGCAGAAGTCCATGTTTGTAGCTCTTTCTTTTTTTAAAACCTTTTTTCCTCGAGATTGATTTGATTAGCAAATCAAAAATTTGAGGGTTTTTCAAACGAGTCTAGTTATCTCTATATATATATATATATATATATATATATATATATATATATATATATTTAGTCATGTACAGACTGTTTCACAGCTCATCAGAGAGTGTGTGTGTATATATATATATATATATATATATATATATATATATATATATGCACACACACTTAATTTTATGAAATTTCAAGAAATCCTTTGGAGGATTTAAATCAGAATTTTTTTTTTTTTTTTTATAAAACAAGTTACTGAAAAACCTGCTCTGAATGATAAAAAAACAATGCATTGAAACTGAGATATTATTGATTTAGAAAAGATTCATTCCCAAAATAGGGAGGTGTTCTTAATGGTTTAAATACAGTAAGAGTAGCTGAGTTGCTGTTAATTAAATTGTACAATAACTTTTTTGGAGGGTGGGCAGGGTTGGTCAATTAAAGAAACATTTTGAATATTTTTTTTTGTCTCTCTTAATTTTAGTTGAATATGATCTTAAAAAACAAATAAAGATTAAACCTTTCTACAGAAAATCTCTTTATAGGAAACTAAAACAGAATTTAAGACTTATTATCTGCTCCTAAAGACACGGCTACTGTAAATCAGTAGTATTGACATGCCTTCACCACATGATTTAAAGTAAGAATTCACAAACATCTTCCTCTCTCTCACTTAACCTTTTTGTCCTGCTCATATCTGTTAGTGTAGCCATTAAGAAGGTATTCCATCACTGTACATTCAGTGCTTTGCATGGTAGTGGTGAATACAAAAAGCAAACTGTCCATCTTTTTAGTGGGGGGATGGGAAAGGACAGAAGACCGATGAACTTTTAATTATCTAAAGGGGTTAAAGGATGAGAGCACAAGTGACTAGCCCACATACTGTCTGAATTTTGTCTCGTACACCCAGGATATACCATCCTTAGTTAGAGAAACCCCAATTAAAAAATATTAGTAGATATTACTACTAATATTACTAGTGAAAATAAAGCAAGTGAAATGAAGATGAAAGAAATCCTAGTCAAAAATGAATAAGGGCTGATAATGTCTGTTTTGTTTTACAGCTTATCAACCACAGTGGGGTATTTAATGCTAACAAGATTTTTATTGCTGGTATTAAAAGCCATTTTTATACTTTATATGCTTTAACTTCGATTTGGAGGGGGGGGTAACTATTTGCCCATAATTGGGACCCTAATGGGTGCTACCACCATGGCTCAGGGTGGATCTTAGCAACACCAGTAATTAAGAAGTGGTTCCACACTCCTCAAAACCTACTGATCAGAGGACTTGTAGTTTATCATCTTGCCCAGGACAGTAATGTTTTGTCTAGTAAAAATCCAGATAATATGGCTATTATTACTAATACCACTACTGGAAAGGAAGCAAATGAAATTAAGATGAAAAAAATTCTCATCAAATATAAATAAAGGTTGACAAGGTTTCATCCACTAAAATTAAGATGAAAGAAATATGACTGAAAGATTCTAATAACAAACACATGTAAGTCACTCACACACAACATATATACATAGACACTTACAAGGTCACTCACACAAAACACATATACATAGACACTTAGAAAGTCATATGCAACTGTGTTTTAAGTTTGAGTTTTTCTCTCTTCTTCACATCTTAATCATCAAAATGGACACAGTGTTGAAACTGCAGAAAGACTTTATCTCATACTCTATGAATTTCTCATGTGAACCCTTGTTTGGTAATTTGTGATTTATGAGTGTAAGTTATACATTTTGATCAAACTTTAAGTGCTCCAAAATATTAATCATGTTTTTTTTTTTTTTTTTTTTCAAAGCAATTTATTCTGAAGCTCACTAGTATATTTTTATGAAATTGTGTTAAATACAGGTCGGTGCCAATAAACCGTTGTAGTTGGGGATCCAAAACTTCTATCTGCAGTTTAGATCAAAGGTGAGCCACGATGTCAGGATTGCCAGCTTAGAAATTTAGAAACAAAAATTTAATGTGTGAGGATTTATGGACTTTTTAAAGGTGTTGAAAGGTGTTATTTGGCTGCATTGATGGCCTCCATTAATAATCCTTAAAATTTAGGATTTAAAATTGAAGATTACATAAATTATTTGGAAAAGCATATTATCAAAATTAAAGCAAATCCTGGTGAGTAAATATGTGGAATTTTTAAGTTAGGATGAAGGTTGTAAGCTGCATATTTCACACTCAAAATGTCTGCAAAGTGCTAATCCAAACCACTACACAATCATGAGTGTGAAATGCCAAGAACTAAATAGTAAATGCCTTGGAAAATACAGATATACTGAAGATATTAAAACTCAATGAATTTATTAGATTAAAAGATTATACAGAAAAAAATCAGACTTTAAAAAGTGTCACAATCAAGTTTGAATTTGTTTAAAATTGGGATCCACTGATGATTTATGATTCTAATATAAAGATGACGAGAAATTTTAGGATCCATCATGCATGCACAGTTTAAGCAACATCATGTTTTATTAGTGCACAGCTTAATGGCACTGACCTGTATTTTGAAAAAAAAAAAATAATAATAATAAAAACATATCAGAAATTGTGTCACCCATTTTAACTCTGTATATATTTCTCTTAATTAACTTTTTTCTTTCAGGATTGATTTGTGTCAGATCTCTCTCTCTACCTAGGATTTTGTTTTCCTCTTCTTCCAGCGAGATGGGTGTGTCTGGATGTCGTAAAGAAAATGTCAGTGCCACTGTTGCCATGGTACATAGCATCCCGGAACTTATTGTCAGTGAAGAGGTAAGAATTTGGTAGGAATGTTTTTTTTTTTTTTTTTTTTTTTTGAATTAAAAATGGCTAGTTTGCTTTGTGGAAAAAAAAAACAAAATCTTAACCACCTTAATGACAAAAGACCTTTAAAAAAGTTAACCTCCAAGTCTCTTTATTTAAAATCCTCCAGCATCAAACCTTGGATTTCTTTTTAACAACTCTTTCTTTCTGTGTTAAATTAGAAAGTGTGAAACGTTATGACATAACCAAAATTTTATCACCATTTTCTGCTAAATCTGTAGAGTAAATCGCCATTGTTAAATGTTGCCGGCAGAACTGTTCAGCAAATAGAATTGCCAAAGTTTGCAATAAACAACCACAAGAAAAGAACAAGGTAAAAAAAATAATGTTGATCAAGCAAAACAGTATGCAAGACAAAACAAAAGTAATAAGGCAAAAACTTCACTAAGAATTGGTATCAACCCACAAGAGCAGATTCAGATGAACAAATATAACATTAAAGACAAGATAAACTGGGACTGAGTCAGATGAGACCAAGATCTTATTGCTTAAGAAGAAATCCCATCATGCATTTCTGTGGTTTTTGCCTACAAATTGGGGGGAGGGAAGTATTTTGATCTCATTCCAAGGAAATGACAAGCTGAGACTAGTTTTGTGCACAAATCCATTTAAGCAGGGACTGAGGAAATTTTGACCATGGCCCTAAATGAGGAAACACACTTGTGTTGCATCCTACACCCAGTGGGAACATGGTGGTGAATACCTCATTCAAAAATAGAATAGGCACTTTGATGTTGTGTAATGGTTAACAAGCTTGTCTCACTAGATCAATTATGACTGAATAGTGAGTTCGATCCTCACTAAGTGCCCCCTTACTTTCGGTCTTGTGCAACATCTAAGCTACGCTTACATTATTTGGGGCAGTTTCCTGACACTCCCCCCTCCCTCCCCAGTTAAGCTAGACTTGTAGATTGTAAGAATTTGTGGGGGGATAATAATGGTTTAGTCTTACTAATTAAACCATAGCTGACGGGAGAAGTGGATTCATGCCTTTTCCTAAAGGTATTTGTGCTTAAGTGAATATAATGAACCCAACGGCAATTAGAACTTGGCTCTCTGATTAACAGTTCTGTCTCATTATCCATTACACCACACCCATATCCAAGCTTACAATACCCGGTATTCCCAACTGGTCCCTCATCTAAGTACTGACCTGACATGGCTTAACTTTTGTGATCGTATGGGGAATCAGTGTTTCAACCTGATGTGGCTGTAAGTCAGATTAAATAATGGATTCAGTTTGTAATTGCCTGAAGGTTATTTGGAATCAACACATCTGAAGAAGGCTGAAGAAATACACCTGCCAATATGTGATAACAACAAAGATGAAGACGTTAGTAAATAATGACAACACGCAGTAATAATACAAAATGTGGTAACAATACAGACTAGGACATTACTCTAGATGTAAATCATAACATCTCATCCCAGAAATTCAGACAAAAAAGATGAAATCCAAAGAGGAATCTCTGTTGAAATTTGAGAAAATAGATGTTATATCTTGTTGCTACATGAACAGATTTTATGTGAGAATAGTAGAACCACATCTCTGTCGCTTCAAGTCTCTTCTTCATCTGTGAGGAGATTGTCAAGAATTCACTGCCATATAGGAGATTAGATATTACATAGCCGTCCAATACTCTTTTATTTGTTTCTAAGGACACTCGTCAGTAGAACCACACCTCTATCGCTTCAAGTCTTTCCTTCATCTGTGAGATTGTCCAGCATTCACTGCCATATAGGAGATTAGATATTACATAGCCGTCCAACACTCTTTTCTTTGTTTCTAAGGACACTCGTCAGTAGAACCACATCTCTGTCACTTCAAGTCTCTTCTTCATCTGTGAGGAGATTGTCCAGCATTCACTGCCATATAGGAGATTAGATATTACATAGCCGTCCAACACTCTTTTCTTTGTTTCTAAGGACACTTGTCAGTAGAACCACATTTCTGTCGCTTCACGTCTCTTCTTCATCTGTGAGGAGATTGTCCAGCATTCACTGCCATATAGATATTACATAGCTGTCCAACAATATTTGTGCACATTTATTTTGATTGTTTTATTGTTATAATACTGGTTATGAATTTTTTTTTTTTTTTTTTTAGTGTGTAGGGAGTGGGGGTAATTACTTTGTGTTGAGATGGACTAATTTGGTTTGCAATAAATAGTAATATAGTGGTAATTCTTAAAGAATATTTTTATTGACAAATGAAAGATAGCTGTTCTAGTTTACTTAAAAACTTGTAATAAATATATTTCAAACTATGTAATATTTTGAGGGAGTGGGCAAAATTTAATTAGCCTAGGGCCCCAATAGGTCATCATCCATCCATGTATGTACTTTTTTATTTTTAATTATTATTTTCTATCATCTTTCAGCAAGCACTTGAACTTGGTCGAGCTGATGAAATAAGGTTGATAAAAACCCGGAAACTGGTTCTGCTTGTTGATCTCGATCAAACTCTCATCCACACGACAAATGATAATATACCCCCCAACCTTAAAGTGAGTACAGCTTGTCCCTTTCACATTTTATAACATTTGCTATGAAATAAAGTTTTTTTTGTTGGGGGGGGGTTCTGAGTCAAATATGTCAACAAGGGTGAGGGGGGTATGCTTCCACATATCACATTTTTATTATACTGTATAAATTCAATATAGAGTGAGTTGCTTTTCTCTATTACAAAAGCATGTTAAAAAAAATGCAAACAGCAGCTATACAGAGCATTGACAGAACTCAATTACTTGGATAATACCATACATACACATCATAATACAGCAGACATTAGGAAGTGAGTTTTTTTTTTGGGGGGGGGGAATCTCGCATATTTTGCACCAGGTATGTTGTCTGGGAGCATCCAGTAGAAGTCCCCCATCAAGCTGGGGCTCCTTTCCATCTTAGTAATATTCTGGTGGAACCTTTCTCCATGCACATCACTCCCTGCTCCAAGGTTCAGGTGAAAGGATAATGTGGGAGTGAAGAAAGTGAATTTTGAGTGATATTCAGCATACCATAAGCCTACAACAACTTCTTGAGACACTCTTAGTAATCTGATACCTGTGTGTTACCAAGAAAGCCATGGCAGACTAACTTAAATATTTCCTATGCTCTCAGTTCATTTAAGGTAAGAAGCTCTGCTGTAGCACAACCTGTTTTCCATGTTGAAGAATGAGGCAAAGTTCTTGTTTTGTGCCCTGAAACTGGTGACCCTTATATCTGCTGTGACCAGGTTCCACTACTTAAGCAGGGATGCCAGGTGCTCTAGCTGCTGCTTACATAGGTAAAAATCACAGGCATGGTCATTCGGGTCTTCCTTGGTGATCCAGTGGGGCTCACTGCCATTTGCTCTTGAATAAACAGAGACATTGTCTTCAGAAGAGACCAACTTGACAGAATTTTCTTCTGAAGTCAATTTTTCATATGATGAAAGATTAAAACTTTTATGTATCAGAGGTGTAAGGGCAAAGACATCATCTGAGGGATGAACAGGTCTCATAGCTGGGGGAAGCTTGGAATATTTGATTGTTTTTTTTGGGGGGTGGGGGGGGCAGTTGTATTTCTTAGGCAAAAATAACATTTCATCTGCATGACTTTGTTGCTCTCTTTCTCACAAGACTATCAAGAGGGCAAAATTGAAGGCTGATTTCTTGCCATGAAACCATGCCATTAATCCATTGTAACAGAATTTACAAGAGATGTCTGCGGCCCAGGATTTGTCCTGATCTCCAATTTTACAGTCAGAATAATGAAAGTAATTCATAAATAGATTGAATAGCTAACATGAATTTACATGACCGCAATAAGACGATTTTTACCATGACACAGCTTTTTTTTTCTTTTTTTTTTTTTTTTTTTTTTAATTACCTTCACTCTTTAGCAATAAAAAAAAAAGCAATGATTAGAATTGTAATAAAACCTAAAGATATGAAAGTGAATTTATACATTTTCTTTGTTCTTGAGAATTGACAAAAATATTAAACCTTATTTGTTTATTTCCAATATTATTATATTATTTATTGAAATCATTGGCAAAACATTGGTTAATTACCAATTGATTCAAATTTTATAAAATGGTAAATAATAATAATTTCCTCATAGTTGGTCCACACATTTTAATAATTTAGTAAATGTTTATAAATTCATTAAAAAAAATTCATTTATTTTTTTATAAATTGGTAAATGATAAATATTGCATATCATTAGTTTTAATTATTCTGTAGGGCTGAGAGAGAGAGAGCCTGTGTTCCATGTTGTTGAGGTGACTGCACCACAGGGACAGGTGGCTGACTAGAAGCTCTGTTCATGTGTTCAACTGAATGCAGAAAGCTTGACTTGAACCTCCTTGTCATTGGTTCTCTGATGTGGAGTGCATGATGATAGTCACTTTCTTGCTTTAACTTCTCAGGCTGGGAGCAGACTGTCCGGATGTACAGAGAAGCAATGCCACTAAGCAAATAGCAGTTATTCACTTTGGTTGGATTGAGACACCCAGTCATTGATCTGCAACTGATGATTTGCTCCACACTGGTGAAACATATTCTGCTGTGGTTCGGATTGTATCGGCATGGGCACCCCTTTTGGTGTTAGCCAGCTTGTTTAACCTTTACCACACTTCAGGCAACAATAGTCGCTGTTGCTCTCCCTTTGTTACTCTTGGTGCGTTCTGTCGCCTTGAGACAGTTGCTATAAATAAACACTTCTCAACTGTTATTTCCGGTATTTTAAGCTGGAAATTGCCTACTGCTCTGGAAGAAGGTTAAACTTCCATTTTCCGACACTATTTTGGATTCTTTTAGCCTCTACACAAGCTATAACACCGATTAAACCCATGTTAATTTTTGTTTTTTGTTGTTTTTTTTTTTTTTTTTTTTTGCGGTGGGGGCAAACAAAAAATGCCCGTGTCAATATCCAACAAAGCCTTTATCTTTTTTTGTTTTCAACATCAAAATATGCATGCAAAACGTAATGCATTGCATCAAAATATTGCTCATTCATTCTTTTAATAGTGTACATAAATTAAGATCTATACTCACAATACAAAGAAAGTTATAACAATTTTAAAACGGTATGTGTTCATGTTTTTGCACCCTCAGAAAAAATGCAGTGGCAGGGATAACAATTTTAGAAAGAAATTAGGAGGTTAAAGGTTAATTGGGGTATAAATTTGGCCACTCCACTGCTTAGAAATGGAGGAACAAAGGGATGTCTTGAAGAAAGAAAACACACTGAATTCAAAACCATATATAGCAATGGCAAACCAGATATTATACAGCTATGGAAATGATTAGAGTTCATTGTTATCTACTTTTGATGAGGTAGGTAAGGCATTTTTCCTTTTTTTTTTTTTCTTCTTTTTTTTTTTTTTTTTTTTTTTTTCCTTTTTTTTTCTTTTTCCTTTTTTTTTCTTCTTCTTTTTTTCTTTTTTTTTTTTTTCTTTTTTTTCTTTTTTTCCTCTTTTTTTTTTTTTTTTCCTTTTTTTCTTTTTTTTTCTTTTTTCTTTTTTTTTCCTTTTTTTTTCTTTTTTCCTCTTTTTCTTCTTTTTCCTTTTTTTCTTTTTTTTTCTTTTTTCTTTTTTTTCTTTTTCTTTTTTTCTTTTTCTCTTTTCTTTTCTTTTTCCTCTTTTTTCTTTTCTTTTTCTCTTTTTCTTTTCTTTTTCTTTTTTTCTTTTCTTTTCTTTTTCTTTTTCTTTTTTCTTTTTTTCTTTTCTTTTTCTTTTCTCTTTTTTCTCTTTTCTTTTCTTTTTTTTTTTTTTTTTTTTTTACATTAATTTTTACTCTATACAGGGCCCAAGAGCCACTCAAAGTAGACACTTACAAAGTATGAGCCACACTTTATGCAGATATGTGTGAAAGATAACGGTTAACTCTTGACGTGAGCAAGTTAAGATTGTAGTGATCAGGGAAGCATCCCCTTCGGATCAGTCCCTCCTGGGAAGCAGCTGTTCAATTGGAACTCAGGAATGGAATAAATAAGTATGCTTTCCTACAATGTGTGTAGCATGGCAGGGACCTAGCTGTGAAGATTACATGGAAATAAATGGATACTTAATGAATCTTTGAATGATCAACTGGTTTTCTGTTTTATTTTTTGATAGGGGATTCATCATTTCCAGTTGTGGCAAGGAATGAACTTATTGTGGTACCACACGCGTATTCGGCCACATACTCAACAATTTCTGGAAAACATCTCCAAGCTGTATGAGCTCCACATCTGCACTTTTGGTGTACGAATGTATGCACATACGATTGCACGTTTCATTGATCCAGCAGGAAAGTTTTTCTCACACCGTATCCTCTCCAGGGACGAATGCTTCAATGCCATGTCTAAAACAGCCAATCTCAAGTAAGTTAATTTCTCTCAGTTTTACAAAGTAAGGTCTCCAATCCTATAAACTAATTTTGAGACCAGATAGTACAATGAAACTGGTATCAAAATGAAGGACATTTATTTCTATTCAAAATTACGAGGGTTGATTGATAAGTAAGGTCTCCAATCTTATTAAACAATTTTGAGACCAGATAGAATAATGAAACTGGTATCAAAATGAAGGACATTTATTTCTATTCAAAATTATGAGGGTTGATTGATAAATAAGGTCTCCAATCTTATTAAACAATTTTGAGACCCGATAGAATAATGAAACTGGTATCAAAATGAAGGACATTTATTTCTATTCAAAATTAATTGATTGATAAATAAGGTCTCCAATCTTATTAAACAATTTTGAGACCCGATAGAATAATGAAACTGGTATCAAAATGAAGGACATTTATTTCTATTCAAAATTACGAGGGTTGATTGATAAGTAAGGTCTCCAATCTTATTAAACAATTTTGAGACCAGATAGAATAATGAAACTGGCATCAAAATGAAGGACATTTATTTCTCTTCAAAATTACAAGGGTTGATTGATAAGTAAGGTCTCCAATCTTTTGAGACCCAATATTAAAAATGAAAGACATTTATTTTATTCAAAATTACGAGATTGATAAGTAAGGTCCCAATCTTATTAAACAATTTTGAGAGAATAATGAAACTGGTATCAAAATGTAGGACATTTATTTCTATTCAAAATTACGAGGGTTGATTGATAAGTAAGGTCTCCAATCTTATTAAACAATTTTGAGACCAGATAGAATAATGAAACTGGCATCAAAATGAAGGATATTTATTTCTCTTCAAAATTACAAGGGTTGATTGATAAGTAAGGTCTCCAATCTTATTAAACAATTTTGAGACCCGATAGAATAATGAAACTGGTATCAAAATGAAAGACATTTATTTCTATTCAAAATTACGAGGGTTGATAAGTAAGGTCTCCAATCCTATAAATTTGGGTTCTCAGGACCAAGAGATTCAGACAACACATTAATCATGTTTTCTTCTTAATTGAGAGAAGTGGATAGTTTGGAGAAATTTATTTTATTGTTTAAAACATTAACTCCTTTCTTTTTCCATCTTTCTCCTAACCATTCAATCTACTCTTTTAAGGATTTTAATAATTATTATCCAGATAACAAGTTCCTCTCAATCAACAGGGCCAGTGTCTTGTTACAAATTCTCTAATTTTATTCCCTAAAAGATTGCAAAGGGTGACTAGAGCAGTTGTTTGGTGTGAAAATTAAAAGAAGCTTAATGTTTTTAGTGGACCAGCTGAAGAATAATAAATGAAATAGATAAATTAAAATTCATAAAAAATTTTTTTTTCTTCCTCAGGGCTCTATTTCCATGTGGAGACTCTATGGTGTGCATTATTGATGACCGTGAGGATGTATGGAACTTTGCGCCTAATCTAATCCATGTGAAACCATATCGTTTCTTCCAAGGAACTGCCGACATCAATGCCCCACCTGGATTGTCCAAAAAAGAGAACGACTCAAAACCTATCACTCGCCATGTGCGAAAAGTGTCTACCAATTCAAACAGTCCGGAAAAGAGTAAAGGTGTGTCAGTAGGTAGCAAGGATAAAGGCAAGGCAAGTAAGAATGTCGAAAAGGAAAAGAAAGCAGTTGAAGAAACAATTTTGCCAAAGTGCCAGTTGGCAGATAAGGAGGAGGAGGAGAATGATGGGGTTGAATCAGTTTCCAAAGATGAGGATAGCAATACTGTCTCAAAAGAACCAGGTACCATCATGGCCAACAAAGACAACACTGATGACAGTACAAGCCAGAAAGAGCAAAAAGATGCTGAAGACCCGTCCAAGGATTCAATCAAACAGGAAACAAAAGACACTGTCAACTCTGATGACGCAGTCGGCGGTAAAAATGCTGCCAGCTCTGAAGACGCTGCCAGCAATAAAGATGCTGCCAGCTCTGAAGCCGCAGATGGTGTTAAAGATGCTGCCAGCTCCGAAGCCGCAGATGGTGTTAAAGATGCTGCCAGCTCCGAAGCCGCAGATGGTGTTAAAGATGCTGCCAGCTCCGAAGCCGCAGATGGTGTTAAAGATGCTGCCAGCTCCGAAGCCGCAGATGGTGTTAAAGATGCTGCCAGCTCCGAAGCCGCAGATGGTGTTAAAGATGCTGCCAGCTCCGAAGCCGCAGATGGTGTTAAAGATGCTGCCAGCTCCGAAGACACAGCCGGCGGTAAAGATGCTGCCAGCTCCGAAGACACAGCCGGCGGTAAAGATGCTACCTGCTCTAAAGCCGGCAGCAAAGATGCTGCCTGCTCTGAAGACGCTGCCGGCGGTAAAGATGCTGCCAGCTCTGAAGTCACAGTCGGCGGTAAAGATGCTGTTGAATCGAAGAGTGATGAAGAAGATGAGTCGAAGTCAGAAGATTTGGAGGGCCTCAGTGAAGACAGCTCTATGTCCGGCATGAGCTTGTGCGACAACAGTAGCATGAATGCAACTAGCAAAAATGATGATTCAAATATCGATGACGACGATGATGATGATGACGATAATGAAGACAAAATGATAGAATGGGAAGATGAAGATGATTATCTTTACTATCTCGAGCAGATATTGCAACGCATACATACAGCATACTTTGCTATCAGTGATCAATTAAATGCCGAAGGAAAGGCTTCTGAAATTAACCTTGACCTGAAAGCAATCATCCCTTATGTAAAGCGTAAAGTTCTCAAAGGTTGTAACATTTGCTTCAGTGGGATTATCCCACTCAATACCCAAATGGCTAAAAGCCGGGCTTATAACGTCGCCATTTCCCTGGGGGCTAATATTCATGAAACATTTGTTCCCTATTCGTCAAGTAAAAAGTCAAATTACACAACCCATTTGATTGCAAACAAAACTGGAACATCGAAAGTGCATGCTGCACAACGTGCACGAAAAGTTACAATTGTCTCACTTGATTGGCTCTGGTCCTGTGCAGAGCGTTGGGAACGTGTGGATGAGAGGCTGTTTCTACTGAAAGACAAAGATTGTTTGGATAGTGACAATGGCCGGTCTAGCCCAGAGATACAAAAAGCCCCTAAATCTGTGTTGCGGAAACGTAAATGCGGTAATGACAACCAGGGGTCCAGCCGGGGGGAAACCTATTCAGGTGGAAGTAAGGTGAAAAAAACTGGAGGAAATGACAGCCCTAGGAAACCGCTCGAAGATGAAATTTTTGTGGATGCAATTGACAATGAACACAACAGGGATGATAATAATAATAACAATAACAACGAGGATAACGATAATGATGACGACGTAAAGAAACTGAAAAGGACTGGCTCGCACTACAATCCACTCTACTCTTTTTCAGATGAGGAGCGAGCGAGTATGGACAAGGAGTTGGAGGAACTGATGGATGAAGATGATAGCGACTCTGACGAAAAGGAAGCTGAGGCTCAACTTCGGAAACAGGTGCTCAGCGAACGCAGGTGTGACACGTCCTCAGAAGACAGTTTGTCTGGGGAGTTCCCCCATGGTTGGAAAAGCAAAAAATGGTCAAAACGCCGTTTGAGCAAGAAAAAGACATCAATAAAACGGGACGAATCAATTGATAGTGAGGATTCTGAGGCAAGCATTAGTGAAAAATACGAAAAGTCCATTGAGATTTTTGCTGCTCAGGAATCGGACAGTAGCAATGAGGAATCAGATTGTGAGTCAGTCGGATCAATTGATGAGGAAATTGCAGAAGCCGTAGAGAAAGAGTTTCTTGCCAGATGATCTTTTACGTGTTTTTAATATTGTTCCATTATACCCAGTGACACTCAAGAGAAGGTTCTCACTTTTTGTGGGGGGTTGTGTTAAGGGAAAGCATTCATTCAACTAAGATTACTTGATATCCAAAAAAAAAAAAAAAAAAACTTTTAGAATCTTTTTTTTCTTTTCCTTACTTTTCTTTTTAATTCTATCTTTTTTCTTTCTTTCCCTTTTCTTTACTTTCCCTCTCTATTTTTTCCTTTTCTTTCCTTTTTCCCTCACCTTCTTTCTGCTTTCTTTTTCTTTCCTTTCTTTTTACTCCTCTTTCCTTGTCCTCCTCTTATCTTTCCTTGTCCTCCTCTCTCCTTTCCCATCCTCTCCCTTTCCTCTCCTCCCCCTCCCTCTCTCCCCTCCCCTCCCTCCCCCCTCCCCCCCCCTCTCTCCCCTCCCCCCTCCCCTCCCCTCCTCCCCCTCTCCCCTCCCTCTCCCTCTCTCCTCTCCCTCTCTCCCCTCTCTCTCTCCCCTCTCTCCCTCTCTCTCCCCTCTCCCCTCTCCCCCTCCCTCTCTCCTCTTTCTTTTCCCTCCTCCTTCCTTTATTCTTTTTTTTTTTTTCTTTTCAAAAGTTCCTTCTCTTCTCAACATATCTGAAATAATCTATTACATAAGTTGAATTGGAACATTTTTAATTTTATTCATACTGTAAAAATGAACAATTAATTTACTTTTCAGAAATAGGTTTAATCATATTTGCCATCTTTTAAACTCCATAAAATAGAGAAAATCCAGTATGATGGAATTATAGACTTTGTTCAGTGGGTTTAGCAACCCTGATGTGTTGGGTTTCTCTTTTGTGCATATTTCACAAGGAACCTTTTTTTTTTTTTTTTTTTTTCCCCCTGTCATTTCTGATAGCATTTTGAAGAATTTTTCACCGCAGAGAAAGTGTAAAATTCATAGCTTTGCCAAAACGGATTTACAAAATTTTGGAGTTTATAAATTTAACTGATGTCAAATGCATGGGGCACAGCTATTTGCAAGATGGACATTTTGTTGGGGGTTTTACTGTGTCTGTCCTGATGACATTGTGGCTGTGTTGACAATACTTCATCTCATTGACTATCATGTTTTAAATACTTTGCATGTCCATTTCTATAAACTGGCTTCTTTTTTTTGCATAATTATTGTAAAGAATGTTTTAAATAGTTTTGGTTTTTGAATCAGTGGGGTTATTTCATGTTTGTTTTTGTTTCAAAATCCTCGTAAAGTTATCTGTTCATTTCTGGGGGTATGTACAAAACTTTGGTTGTGGGGCGGGGGTCTTTTTTATGTAAAAAGCTGATCAGATGACAAGGGTGAAAGAAGAATTGCTTGCTGAAAGGAGTTAACAAACATCTAAATAAAGGACAAAAACGGTTGAGTAATGTTTTTTGTTTTTTCTCTTATTTAAAAAAAAAAAAAAAATCCCACCCTGTTAACTCAGCTACCACCCATTTTGACCCAAAATGAATAAATGAAAACTTTTGGGAACAACTGAAACTTGACTAGACATTTTAAAAAAAAAAAAAAAAATAAATTTCGTTTACAGGCTTATATAAACAGTCGCCATTAGAATTGAAGTAGTTCTGTAACACCTGTAAGCAGGGACAGGCTGTCCGTCAAAGTAGTTCAAACCTGCTCGCTGGCAGGTGAAAGCTGTCTAAATCGAGACTTTCAACACTACACATCATGATGGACAGAGGGTTGGTAGGATAGGAGCAGAGGTCAAAGCAATTGTGATATTTAGCTTTTATTTGAAATGAATCGAACCCAGCATAATGTCTCCCTAATTCAGTTTTGGAGCGCATTAGCTATATTTCTTCCATAGTGAGGAAGAAATTCCATTCAGACAGCTTCTCCCTCCACCCCAAGAACTGCTACTTTGCGAAACTAACACTCCAAGCTGAGACATGCTACACCACATGCATGGAGGTGAACTGCCCTCGTTCCCTTTGTATTCCTTTAGTAAGGAGCAAGTTCTATTCGGATAGCTTCTTCCCAAGAACTGCTGCTTTGTGGAACAGGATTCCAGGAGGATTCTTTCCCGACTCCTGTAATCAACCTCTTTAAGTCTATAGTTAACAATTATCTTTCCCCACATATACTGCACCCCTTATTTTTACACAACAACCACTTTCAGTAACCCTCTACTTTGAGTGGACCCTGGGCCTTGTATAGAGTGAACATAACATTATTAAAAAAAAAAAAACACGTACTATGATTCCACAGGAGGATGCTGAGAATATCCTGGGCGGAGCATATGAGCAACAAGCAAGTTTTAAAGGAAGTGGAAATAAAGAACACTTATTCTTAAAATCAAAGAGTTGAAATTTTGGTTAATTTGCAGTATAAAGCACCAAAAGACCCCCAGTATTGTTAATGACTAAACTTGTGGCGGGTTCTACAACAATAAAATATCCATAGAAATTTAATTGTTAAATATTTAAACTTAACAAGATGTTGCAGTTACAATTATGAATTTTGATCCTTATTTTAAGAAGTAAGGGGGTACAAATGAAAAGATTTGAAATTGATAACTTTTCCATTTCACTGAAACAGCTGGTAAACACTTCTATCTTTCCTTCCTTTCTTTCATTCATTCATTTTCTCCTGGAAACAAAGTGTATTTTCCATGCAATCAAAACTGAATAGTTCATTATTTATGAGGTATTGGCAGGGCGTAATGTTCATGCAAACTAAATAATGGAGGAACAAACGCAATTATAATAAGATGTTTCTCCTTGAATGCAAAAAATCCATATTCAACTAATGTTATCATCATCACAGCATTTCAGCTCTTGTAACCATCAGATAACCTACAGGATTTTGAAGGAACCTTTTATTTTGCTTAGAGTGGTAGATTGTTCTTGTTCCACTGTCCTTGTCAAGAGATATCTCGTATAGTAATTGTGAGTTCAATCCATGGCCAGGGAAGTACAAAAATTAGATTTACTGGAAATTGGGTAAACTAAGTAGTTTTTTTTTTGTTGTTTGTTTTTTTAAGTCAAAATGTCCTTGAACAGGAACAAATCTACCCCTGTTGATTAAGTTCCAAAATCCCCTCATGGTTACCTGGAGAATCAGCAGACATCTGAAAAAGGCTGGAGAATACAACAGATGAAATACAATAACAATAAAGATGAGGATATTAACCAATTAATTGACATATTTTTTTTTTTTTTTTTTTTTTTTTTAATGCATATTTTTGGCCCAGACAGGTGTCTTAGGAGTTTATTTATTCCTTATGTTTAATTTCAGTAGTTAGTTACCATTGTCGTTTTTATATATATATATATATATATATATATATATATATATATATATATATAGACTCGTTTTAAAAAACCCTCGAATTTTTGATTTGCTAATCAAATCAATCTCGAGGGGGGAAAAAAGGTTTTAAAAAAGAAAAAGAGCTACAAACATGGACTTCTGCCGACAAAAAAAATCGACAGATGCAGGTCTGAAGCCCAAAGAAAAAACCCGATACGAGTAACAACTAACTAACAAAAGAGCTCAATACAACCGTAGAGCAGACCTAGATACACCTAGTGAGCCAGACAAACCTACCTAGGTTTTCACCTAAGCGGATCGTCAGGGAAAGTTTGGCTAAAACTTTCCCTGACGATCCGTTTAGGTGAAACCTAGGTAGGTTTGTCTGGCTCACTAGGTGTGTGTATATATATATATATATATATATATATGCATAAAATATGAAAAAATAATATTGATTAGAAATGGTAAAAAAAAAAAAAACTTTTCAAAATAGTCATTATTTTTCTATTCGGGAAATGTAAAATTATGACAGAAAGCATCTTGTTACAGCTAATAATAAAAACTTTAAGAGCTAAGTGTTGTAAAATATAGCTCTGCAAATGCAATGTATCTAAGCAATTCAATGTAAGTACAAGAAAGAACATGTAATGAGTTTAATTTTAACAGATCCCCCAAATGAGGCTCAGGGCAGGTAATGGGTTAATCTGAAGGTAGGTTTTATGATAAGCCTTCACTCATTTTATATCTTTAAATAAGTGTTTCTCAACCATTTTAAGCAATGGCACACCTAGGAGCAAATGAAAACATCACGACACACTTAGGAACATTTCTAAAGAGTATACATTTAAATGTTATGAAATAAATCAATAGATTTTGAATTAAAAGAATCTTACTTATTATAAAACGCAGATTGTGTGTGTGTGTCTGTATGTTTATATATTGGATCGGATTTCCCACATTTTTTAACCGATTTCAACTAAACTTCACAGGACTACGTAAAATTACCTTGCAGTGGTTCTGACAGCGCCAAAAATTGGAAAAACAATTGGTTTTGCACAAAATCAATTTGAAAACATGATAAAACACAATTCTGTTGCCAGAATGAAAGGGGGAAAAATTGGAAAAACAATTGGTTTTGCACAAAATCAATTTGAAAACATGATAAAACACAATTCTGTTGCCAGAATGAAAGGGGGACAACTCATATCGAGTTATACTTATTATAAAACCCAGGTTGTTTTTGTGTGTGTGTGTTCATTTATATATGGGAACGGATTTTGGCAGGTAGTGTTTCTTATTGTCTTGCACATTTTTTTCTTTATTTTTACATTCAGAATGCTTTAAAAATTCCATTTACAAGACAATTGTTTATAATAAAATTCTATTCAATCGGTAGACTCATAACGATTGAAAACAATGTTTTGTTTGAGTTTGGGTTTGACCAATTAAGTAAAAAAAAAAAAAACAAAAAAAACTAATTAAGACATGCGTGTCCATCAACCTTAAACAATAATCTTTGTCAATTTTATTTTTCAGTCTTCATGATGGTTGATACTTGATCTATCTCTTACTGTTACATCGCCGGGCTCTACTGCTAGTATTGAATACAATTACACCCTTGTGCAAATTAACTGAAAATGAATAATTTCGTTATTTATTTTTGTATTTTTTCCAATGAAACATGACCCAGTGCACATTTCATATGTACATTCCATGAAATCATTCCTTGCAGATTCTTGATTGGCTTGGAAACTCTCCTGGTTTAAATCCAGTCTATAGTTCTTTGATTTACTCACTGGTAAGGCATACCAGTGTGTTTGTGCAGCATTACAATTTTCATGCCCCAAGACAACTAAACGACAGTCGAGACAATAGTATCTGGGTGGAATGAAAATCTGATGCAGTCATGGATAACACAATATTTTCCAAGGGCAAAAAAATTTCATCATACACCTCAAAAATAGATTCATATTACTGCACACCACTGCAAATGACCTAAACTGTGGAAAAAATAGACATCAATTATGCCCTGTAGATCTAAAACTGACCGTATGGTGAAAGAAAGGAAACTAAAGTGGTTGTTTCTTTAATTTACACAAGGGTTTATATGAATAAAAAAAAAAATTAATATTCATTTATTCAAATAGAAAATTTTTAAAAATATAAAAATACTTTTTAAAAATGAATATTAGAACAAAGTATTTAAAATAACATAATCGAGGAATAGTGAAAAGAATTATTTGAAAAAGTTTATTATCTATATTTTGGAGATTAAATATTTTAATTATTTACACTATGTTTGAACTGTTGTCCTCATCTTTGTTGCCATATTCACAACATTTCGGCCGTTGTACACTCCAGCCTTCTTCAGGATCTGTTTATATTTCCAAGATGAGGTATTATAATTGGTACACTATTTACATTGTTTGGATTGTTGTCCTCATCTTTGTTGGCATATTCATAACATTTAGGCTGTTGTACACTCAGTCTTTCATTTGATAGGAATTTCAAACAGACCTTTATTTTATCCACTTGGTGGGCAGGGAGTTAGTTCTAGTTACATGTGACATGCTTTTCCAGGTATTTCAGTTATCTCCCTTTAACTCAACTCCCAGTTTTTGTTCACCAGACACATTGTCCAGTATTCAAATACTGACACTGTACCATCACTACTTCCACACACATGTATGCTATGGTACATTAGTGTGCCATGGCACGGTAGTTGGGAATCACTGCTTTAAATGCTTTTTTTTTTCATCATAACCAATGGCACCCAGGCCATTACGTATTCAGTGGTATCGAACATTGTTAGGAAATTGTTTCTTAGTTGAGGTGCCAGATGAGTGAGCAGATACTCAGAAAGAGGCAATTATGCAGTATATTCAGCCTGGAAGCCATATTGTTTCAGACGGCTGGGCTGCTTATCCTGGAATCGAGGACATCAGCCACTGGATATACTCTCATGTTATTCAGCAGCAGCATTTTATGGATCAGGCAGTACAAGAACATCCCCATATTTACAGCATTTATTTGCTCCATAGTCCATTATTAGCCGTTGTAATAATGTTTAATTACGATAAACATATATACCTTTGTCTTATTGATTTTATGCCATTGAAGTGAATGATTACCTGCTAAAGAATGTCTGGACTTAAAAACATGGAAATATTATAATATTTTGACATGGAAAGGGAAGCTGTACTGAGAGAGGGGGAGAGGGAGAAAATAGAGATGATAGGAGGAGAGAGAGAGATAGGAAGAGGAAAAGAGAATATAGTGAAGAAAAAGACAGGATAGGAGAATAGAGAGGGAATGAGAAAGAAAAAAGAGAGTATATGGAAGAAAAATAGAGAAGATAGAAGAAATGAGAATAGAGAGAGAGAGAGAGAAACTAGAAGAATAGAGAGAAAGAAGGGAAGATATTTTATATCTTTAAATGATTTTTTCATCGTGAATATCATTGTAGTCAGGACTCCATTGGCCACACTGATATTCGGTGGTATCGAGCGGAGTTTAAGAACATCTTAGTTGAGGTGCTGGATCAGTGAGCTGAGACTCTGAAAGTGGCGACTGTGCGGTATATTCAGCCTGAAAGCCATATTCAGATGGCTGGGCTTCTTATGCTGCAATCGAGGACATCAGCCAAGGGTTATACTCTCATGGTGTTGTTATTTAACAGCAGCAGTTTGTGGCTCCTATGGTACAAGAACATCCCCGTGTTTACAACATTTATTTGCTCCATAGTCCGCTATTACCCGTTGTAATAATGTTTAATTATGATAAACATATATACCTTGGTCTTATTGATTTTTATGCCATTGAAGTGAATAGCATAAAATCAATAAGACTGTTTCAGATGGCTGGACTGTTTCTTATGCTGGAATCGAGGACATCAGCCAAGAGTTATACTCTCATGATGTCATTATTCAACAGCATAATTTTGTGGATCAGGCTGTACAAGAACAGTCTTGTGTTTACAGCATTTATTTGCTGCATAGTCCATCATTACCCGTAATGTAAAATATAATGATTAACTTTAATAAATGTATATACAGACAAACCTCTTATCTACAGACCCCCCACACACACACACTCACATACCAACGGACTTCAAATGCAACACAAAATCTGCAGGCAAAATAGAAAAAAGTTATGCAGGAAAAAAATTTATAAATCGTCAGCAATGTATTTCAAAATTTGCAAGCTTAGCGGAACAAGTATTAGTTATCAAAGTAACCATTTATGTGGCCTTTCAAATGCATATACAGACAGATGTACAGTATATAAAGCATGATACATTAGCACATGCATGAGAAAGTAGCTGTGAGAAATCTATTACTTTTGTTATTTTAATTAATATATCTGTTAAGTATATATTTATTTATGCCATATATATGCATGTTTATAGTATTTACATTATGATCAGAACTGTTACTATAGAGATTTTATAACTCAAAAATGATCCATTCCCATCTCCAGACAATTGGTTTTAACAAACCACTCATACCCGCTAATAGTCCATTGATGACAGCTTTGTACCTTGGTCTCCGTGATTTCATCCCCTTCATAGAATAGCAGTTTATTTTACACTACTTAAGTGAACGGTTACTGTTTTTGCTTCACAAAGAAATAAACCTTGATATGAATAGGCTATTATTAATGCAAACCGTTAAAGCCCATATAAAAATCCAGTATTAATTATAGTGATTTTCCAAGTGTAGCTTAGATGTGGCACAAGCTACAAAAGTAGGGGGCACCCAGTGAGGATCGAACTCACTACTCAGTGGTAATTGTTCTAGCAAGACAAGCTTGCTAACCATTACACCACTTCGAGGTGCCCAGCCAGTATTAATTATAGATTTACGGTGGAGTAATGGATAACAATTTAAATTGGGGAATTGGAGAGTAGAGTTCAAATTCCCCTTGAATCCATTACATTTATTCACTTACATTCTAATACCCTTGGAAAAGGTATGAATTCTCTTCTTCTCCCCCCAGCTATAGGTAAATAGCAGGACAGACCGGATTTTATAGCCTTGGATAGCAACTTGTTTACCGTAGAAAAAAAATGTCAACCTACTGCGAGAAAAATCTGCCTCGTCAGTCATGTATCAAAAGATTGCTTACACATGTATCATGCATAGCACATAACTGACTGACTGACTTTATAACACATTAATGTTATTGTCACAAAAATGGGATGATGGACTTCAAGGGGTTAATCGCAGAAATGAAACCCCTTGCATCCTAGTGGCTTTATTGCTTAGCTTGGGGTGAAATGATTTTCTTTCTTCAAGTTTTATTCCTCAGTATATGAATATTTTGTCAGTATATAATAATAGGTTGTTTGTAGATCGTTACAAGCATGGATGCTCCATATTTACAGCCTTGTGCCAGATTTTAAAACTTTTTGTTTTGTTTAGTAAAACATTTAATGATGAGAAAACTGATTTTGTAGAGTGGGCCAGGCCAAAAATACTATGCATCTTAGGGGTGCTGAAAAGTTCTCAGACTGGCCCACCTGCCAAAAATCGCTATTTTAACCTTTACCACACTAATTTCTTTCTAGAATTGTTCTCCCCTGCCACTGCATTTTTTTCTAGGGTGCAAAAGCATGAACATCTATTGTTTTAAAATTGTTATAACTTTATATTGTGCGTACAGATTTTAATTTTTGTATACTAATAAAAGAATGAATGAGTAATATTTTGATGTAATGCATTATGTTTTGCATACATGTTTTGACGTTGAAAACAAAAAATATTGAAACACAAAATAAAAAATATATTATAAAAGACATAAATAATTCAACATACTTCCTTGTGGCCTTCTGGCGGTGCAATAAGAAGCAAAATTGCTAAGGCTTTCACTTCATCAAAAAAGTGACATGTTTACATATGAGAAGACACTAGCATTTATTTGCTCTTTCTTTCACCTGACTCATATTTGTCTCATTGACAAATAAAGATATTACTTCATTGTTTATAAATAGACAAAATAATTCGCATTCAGAAAGGCTATCAGGTATATTGATGGTCACCAGTAGCTCCCATAAAATTAGTCAAGCATGGATGATAGTAGCCATCATCACTTTCCTCCATGTCACTAGCATAGTTATCATCTTCAACCACTTCACCATCAATATCCACTTGAGTGGTAGATGGTGAAATTCTAAGCCAATGAATGAGCATGTATTCCTTAGAAGTTATTTCTCCCCCTCCCCCTCCTAGAAGTGTTGTTACCATGTCTGTGCCTGTCGTATAATAAAGTGAATAGGAAAAAGAAACCATCATTCATGGATACAGTATATGAAGTGGTGTTTGGAACTGAAGCTATAATGCCAACACAAAATGTAACACATAACGATTGAATTCTGGAGAAAGAAAAAACAGTCTTTGATTTTGTAACTGAATTTAATATATTATGAAAGAGTGCCTGAAAGTTTGGATATGGCCACTATCAACACAGTCACATTATCAGCAGTAAGCCGAAGCACAGCTTCACTGACCAGTCGTTGGCAAGCCGTTTCATATCTCACTTCATTGAATGTTCGGGATTTTGTCCCCTCAATAGTGTCATCCTGATAAGAGGAAAGAAAAAAACGACTCAATGTTTAAAATGGAAAAAACAAATATTACATTTAACAATTCAAAATGGTCATCCTTACAACATGCAATAACACTTCCAAAACTCACCTCTGACCTAGCCCAAAGTGGAGGATGGGGGGGGGGTGCTCAATGGGGGAAGGACTGGCTCGTAAAATTTGATACATGTGTAACCAAACTAATAATTTTCCACTATCATTGAGCAGACCAGAAACTTTCACCAATCATGATTGATGGGTATTTCCTCAAAGAGAATCCTTGCCATGAACATCTACTGGGACCCAAACTCTCCTCAGACCTCAAATCGAACTCATATATCCGATCTATTGTTAAAGATGCTGGGAAAATGGTCAGTTCATAGTACCACTCCAATAAGTTTGGTTTGGTTTGTTTTAAGGCATATCAACCTCAATGAGTCATTTAATGCAGACAAGTTTTTTATTGCTGGTAATATTATCTATCTATCTATCTATCTATCTCAGTAAATATCTATCTCTTTGGTTTATTTTCTTCTATCTCTGAATCTATCTATCTATCATCTATCTCAGTAAATGTTTGGTTTATTTTCTTTTCACGGAATATTAACAAATGATTTTTATTTTTTGGTAATATTTTCTATCTATCTGAGTCTTTACAGTATCTATCTATCTCAGTATATATTGGTTTGGTTTGGTTTGTTTTACAGCATATCAACCTCAATGGGTCATTTAATGCTGGTAAGATTTTATTGCTGGTAAAAAAAAAAAAAATGCATGGCTGGTAATATTTTTCTCAAAAATTTATTGCTGGTGATATATTTTCTTCAAAAATGTATTGCTTTTAATAATGTATTGCTGGTAATAATTTTGCCTTCCAAAAATTTATTGCTGGTATTAAAATCTATTTTTAAATTTTCATGGTGTTTTGACCCCAGTTTGGGGGTTAACTATTTGCCTGTAGCTGGGACTCTAACAGGTGCTACCACCCTGGGTCAGAGTGGACCTGGGAATACCAGCAATTAAGAGGTGGTTCCATGCTCCCCAAAACCTTCAGATCAGAGGCCTTGCTGTTGGACGTAGTTTATCGTCTTACCCAGGACACGGATGTAGTTTATCGTCATGCCCTGGACCTCTCCAGTAAGTATCAGACTCTGGCCATACTTCTATCTTTACAAGAGCTAGATTAGACCAAAAATGTCATATTGCTGCTGGACTGGAGTGATCCACAAAAATGACTTATACCATCTGGGCTGGCACTACCTACTTTTCACTTGTCTGTTTTGACAGTGTTCCGATGCATCTATGCGGCCATGTGTGTGATGAATTATTTTCCATCCTACAACACCTTTCCCACATTTTTTTTTTTTTGTGATGTCAACGAATACTCGTCATCGCTTTCGTAATGCTCATTGTAGTAGAGACTTTGTAATCGCAGATACCACTATAGTACACAGTTGAACAATACTTGTGTCAGATGCCTTCGAATAACATTTGCACTAACAGTACTTGCTTGATAATACTCACTCAACAAGTAGCCCGTATAGCGATCTGAATAGAGAAATAGTGAATAGAGTAGAGAAAAGCGTCCCATATAGTAATAGAGAATAGAAATAGTGATCCAATTAGTAATAGAGGATAGAATAGAAATAGCAATCAATTAGACAAGCTACCACCCATACATGCGTTTCCTCTATGGTCATGTGGTCGGCTTTTATTCAATAATGGGATTGCCTGTGTTTGCTTACTGGCGATCTATGTTCAAACTCAAGTGTCAGCAGCAACATTTTATTTCTACAAAACACTCTTGTATTCCATTAATAAGATGTAAGTTCCACTCGTCCAGCCTCTTCCCACAAACTGCTACATTGTGAAACTGTCTCTGAAGAGGATGATTTGTTGATTTCTATAATCTTAACATATTTGAGTCTATGCCTGATAATGAGCACTTTTACCCATAAATATACCATACCTTTATACTATATTTCTATTATATATATATATATATATATATATATATATTGCCATCAAAGGTGTACGTTTCTAAACAGTAATTCAGACTTTGCTAACCAGACGCTTCTCTGTGGCTGAATGGTAACATGTCAGGCATATGACAGTTCCCATAAAGGTTACAGGTTCAATTCCTGTCAGTGCATATTTTCTGCGAAATTTTTCGAACATTCAGGCCAGTAAATGTAATTAATAGTTTAATTAAAAATAGAGCATTTACTTAAATAAATTATATCTATCAATAAAAAATAAAATATAAACATAATATAATATGCACAAGGTGCAATGGGTAAATTGTTGCCATTTTATATTTTTAATTTCGCACATGCATATTGTTTGTTCTGGATTTTGTTACACCATGATGCAAATCACGCTGCCAGAAATTTTGAAACGGCATGTTGTAATGCTTGACATTTTTGCCAGAAGCTCCAGTACGAACATTTTTAAGGTTTTGGGTGTCAATCTGAGGACAGTGCAGAGTATTAAGAGAGAGTTTAATGAGTCTAATGGTCATTATGGAAAATAATTCATCATTTCCCATATCCTAATTGGAAGGGTCACACTTCAGCTAATGTAATGGTTTCCTTGATGGAATAGACAAAAAACAAGTTCAATTCCTGTCAGGAAGCATATTTTGTTAGTAAGGACTTCTCGATCTCTTGACTGGTTGATATTGATTTTAATGTTTTAAGTAAGTAGAATATCAGCTCAACCACATCTACCTAATAAAAATAACATTTAGAGTAATAAGAAATATATATATATGTATATATATATATATATATATATATATAGTGTCATCCATAGACAGACTTTCACTGTTTCGCAGCTTTTCAGTGTGGCTAGACATCCGATTGCTTCAGGCTGGGATTGAAACCTGGCCAATTTGACATCAGTCAGATATCCTACACCCAGGCCATCGTTGCACAACAAAAAAAAATGAAAATTTTAATATTTTTACTATACAACATATGCCAGCAGCCCAGAGAACTCAATTCGTACTTGAATATATTATATATATATATAATGGGTACAGAATCCTTAAAAATCCATTCGGTTATAATTTATTTCATGAATATAAAAATATTCATCTCTTCAGAACAAAGTTTTTTTAAATAAATGGGGTCAGTTTATCTAGACAGAGGGAAAGAAGAAAGAATTAAATGAACCAATATGGTGACCTAGAAATGAGAGGGGAGTGATCAGATTTAAACTAGATATATTGAATTGTCATGTCATTTTTGACAGCACATTATAATCATCACAATCTCAAATTAATAATGCTAACTAATATTTGACATCAATAAATAAAGTTAAAGTTAAATAAAAATTAAAAATAAAAATATATAAAAGATATACATTAAAATATATACATAAAAAATATTAATAAATAAATTAATTAAATTAATTAAGAAATCTAGAGATAAAGAACAATTTTAAGGAACAATTGGATTAATGTCCTCCTTGGAATTATCCCAACTAATTATCAATTTATAAATTCCCAAGAGGATAGAATCTAGGTAGAACTCAATGTCCAGAATGAAGTAAGAATATAATATAAAAGGCTCAAACACTAATATTCCATGGTTATAATTTATTACATTGGAATCGTAATCACAATTCAAATCATCAGAATTTGTAGGTCTGATGATTTGGATCGTGATTATGATTCCAGTGTAATAAATTATAACCATGGAATATTAGTGTTTGAGCCTTTTATATTTTATATATATATATATATATATATTGTGTGTGTATGTGAACAAAGACAAAAGATAGAAAAAAATTTATCTTAGCTGACATGTCTTCTAAGCGACTTCATCAAGGGAAATATAAGGATTTTATTTTGCGATAAGTATATACAAGAGCAAAAATGTTATTGGTCTTACATAATTTTTGGTATAAGATTGCTCATGAATATTCATCAGGTTAGCGGAAAAGTCAGAAAAGTTCGTGGATGCGAGGTCAGAGAATTTAATGCCTAATAAACAAAAGTGAGTAGGAGATTTTTTTTTTTTGTGTGTGTGTGTGTGTGTGTGTGTGTGTATAGATATTAGGATTTAAATTATATATATGATTTCTTAGGCCAGAAAGAATGGTGTAATTACCTCCAATATGTCACAAATAAATTGTATACATTCACTCGGACTAAAACATTTCCAGAGGCCATCACAAGCAATCACAACAAACCTGAAAGAAAAATAACAATAAACCACATGTATATAAAATGTAATACATGTATCCATGTTTGGGAACAATTTTCTATGTTACCAAAAAAGTCCAATACATAATGGTGGGTGAATCCCCTATCTCTATGTAATGGACTCTTCTGGTGAGGGATTAGAAATGCTACAAAGTGATTATGCTTGAATTAGTGTTAAAGGAAGTCATAGATTGCAATTGGCTTGGTAAATAAACTTTAAGAGTAAGAGATATTTTTTTAAATTGTTTTGATATTGTTTTCCTTCATAGTTTAAGAAAGAAGGCAGAAAATTAATTATCATTTTTCATAACTTTGATAGGCTGATCATGTTTAACAGCTCTTCAACAGCTTGTGGGTTATTTAAAGCCAGATTGATTAAAATTCCAGTCATCTGAAGAATGCCAGGGTGTACAACGACCGAAACGTTGTGAATATGGCAATGAAGATGAGGATAACAGTCCAAATAATGTAAATAATGCAAGTAATTATAATACCTCATCTCAGAGATATAGACAGATATTAAAGAAAAATTTCAATCACTTGAAGAAGGCCGGAGCGTATAATGGCCAAAACATTGTGAATATGGCAATGAAGATGAGGATAACAGTCTGAATAATGTACATAATACAAGTAATCATAATACCTCATCTCAGAGATATTGACAGATATCAAATTAATTGTGTTGTAAACATATTTTATAGTTTGTCAAGTGTAGTCAATTATTGTCTCTTCTGTCATTGTCCGGGAGTGCCCATCGGCTATTGGTCATTGGGGAAGTCTACTTGTTGGTGATTTATAAATGAGAACTTTTCCTCCACTGGGTTGGGGCAATCGACACTGACCTTCCTTACCACCAGTAGTATTCATCTCTGTTGCTGATATCAATCATGCATCAATCTGATCCAGAGAGTGACCGTTGCACGAAGGCGGACAAATGAATGCTTCACTTTAACTGTGGTACAGTAATCATTACTGAACCTTCCTTACTATCTTCAGATATAAAGAAAAATTTTCTTCAAGTATAATAGAGAAGTTTTATTGTTTGCCAGGTCTGGTTGAAAAAAGGGTTTGTCAAGAATAATTGAAGCTAAGTTTTTTGTTTGTGGAAATATTTATAAACATTTCTTTAAATATTTTATTGCAAAGTCTAGTCTTTTTGACAAATTGCAATATGTTATCTGGTTTAATGTTTTCAAAAAGTTCTCTAAGATTGTTCGTTCTGTAATACTTGTTTCGGATTTCCCGGAAGCTGCAACATTCCAACAGTATGTGCTTGACTGTTTACGACTCCTGATATAGTACACATATAGGTGGGATTTCATTTCTCAATATCGTATTTTCCGACTTACAAGACACACTTTTTTCCCTAAAAAATATGTGTGCATCTTCCAAGACAAATGTAAGACAACGCCCAAGTAAGCTTGAACTGTCACCTAATTGGCTTGATTGATATGGAACTGGGATTTGTATGTTGAGTCATTATACTATAATGTTAACTATCTAATTCAGCCTTTTATATGATGTAACCTCAGTACTTAGCTGTTCCAAGACTGTAATCCTTCCTGGAGCCATGCCACAAGCATAAACATGCTCTGTTTACTTAGCAGCGGTGGCAGCCTTTCTGCTCTCAACTAGTATATCATTGCCATACAAGCAAATTCAGACGAGCGATTAATGTAAACAATACCAGGTGCCAATATGTGAGAGATTTATGGTGAATGCATTGTTGTATGAGAATGACTTTTTTTTTCCTTAAAAATTTCTTTCCAATATTAGGGTGCGTCTTCCAAGCCACAACATCTTGTAAGCTGGAAAATATGGTAAATGTCTGTGAGTAACATGTGTATGTCCAATAAAGAGTCTAGCGAGAACCACTTCCTCTCCTCTTATCTTTTAGTAACCAGCAAATGAATATTATGTAATCTATTATTATGGCAGTTACTCCATAAATGTTGCCATTTTACTTTAATAATCTTATAACAGGAGAGTTCTATGGAAGAAAGGTTTATTCTTCCATTTGTATTTCCCTCATTATTGATGTTATTATATCCGTGACATAATAACATCGTATATCACCAATAGGATGGAATGGCTGAAAGGAAAAGGGATGACAAACATGTTTTGTTCTCAGAAAGACTTTTATACCATTAAGACATATATAAAACTATTTATACATATATACGCATGTCCCACGTGGAAAACAATATTATCAGCATGCAGAGTGCAACAAGAAACAAAAAGGAAGGGTCTTATATATAATATAGAGATTCTTCTGTGTTTCTAGAGAAGCTATGTTTAGGACTCCAGATTCAAGCATACCAGATTCATCTACTATGTCCCAGGCGAGGACATATTCCATGAAGGGAAAACAGCTAGTCTTGGGTTTTCCCAGATTGGGGACTGAGAGCCAGTTTCTTTTTATATCTGAGAAAATGAAACAGCACCATGGACTCGTAAACTATAACATTTGCTGAAGGAGCAAGGCTCTTTTTTTTTTTTTTAACTGGCATCTCACTTCAGTAACCTTCCCACAGCCATAATGTAGCTTCCCTGAGCCTTTTCTATAAATACTTTCATGGTAATTGTTCTGATGAACTTTCCCCTATGGTCCCTAGACTTTATGAATTTAAGCGCAGTACTAGATTGGCAGTAAGGTTTCATCATCTTATAATTGAAATGGCTAGATATTAACTGTAAGTTCTATGCTAACAGTTTCTTCTCTCATACTTCTCGCTTGTGGAACTTCCTTCTGGTTCCATGTTTCCCAGCCATCTTTAAAAAGTTAAATGCAATGTCAATTGTCATCTTGTTCTTTTGTTGTTCTCTCTTTCCCTTAATAGTGTTTTTTCTTTTTTCTCATATTCTCTAACACTCAGTAACTCCTTGCACCTTAGTGGCTTATTGCCTTGTTTGGGGTGAAATGATTAACAAACAAAAACCTCTTCACGATTATTTGTTGTTATCACAACATTTTGGCCATTGTGCTCACAGACAGAAATAATCAGTAATTTTGAATATTATGAGGACCTTACTTGTGGTAAAATAAAAAAATAATTACCCCCCCACCAAAAAAAAACATGTACACCTGGAGAGAAAAGAAAATTTAAAAAACTGACCGGTCATTTTCTGTGAGCTGACATTTACGGACATCAGGAAGGCAAGTGACCCCATGGTTTTTGTACTGTCCGTCCCCGAGTGAACGAGAGATTTCAAGCATGCCCATCACACGACCATCTCTGTAAATAAAGAAATGGCAGAAAGACATGAAAATGGCAAAGCAAAATTGTTCTTCACTCATCAGAAACTAATAAAAAGTAAACAAAATCTTTGAATCTTTTTAACAAAATCATTCTTCTTGAGTGTAATACGAGAAATTTTGAACAAAAATTAAAGGCATAAAAGTTAGGTTGTATTATACATTACGTTTCAGAAATTCTTGCTCAGATTAAAAAAAAAAATCGACTTATCTGAACACAACTGCAAACTCAGCTAACACAAATCTCTCTCTCTCTCTCTCTCTCTATATATATATATATATATATATATATAAAAATAATCGACTCTCCCGTCGAGATTTGACATATGGGGGTCAAGCAGATCATTTTCCAGGAAACCGACACTGGCACATGAGATATGATTATAGTAGTGAAGGCCTCGTACAGGACCATCCACACTTTTTGAAGGGACGAATACAGAGACCTGGTGCACCGAATGCCACGAGGTTCCCAAATGACCCTGCGCTCTATATATATATATATATATATATATATATATATATAAAAAATAGAGGATGTCTGTGTATCTGTTTGTCTGTGTGATACCTTTTCACTCAAGATCCATCCAACTGATTTAAACCAAACTTGGCACATACATTGTACAATGTAAGAGATAGATTCTTAGTGTAAAAAAAAAAAAAATTAATAATTTTTAAAAAATCAAAAATCGATAAATTCAACTTTTTTCCTCTGATTTCCCAGGTCTACCCTGATCCGAGGTGGTAGTACCTGTTAGGGTCCCAGCTATGGGCAAATAGTTAACTATTACCAGCAACCTCTTTTTGAAAAAATTATTACCAGCAATACAATTTTGAAGGAAAAATATTACCAGAAACAGATTTTTGACAAAACAAAATATAACCAGCAATAAAGAATTTTGTCAGCATTGAGTCGCCCATTGGGGTTGGTGTGCCGTGGGAAAAATAAACCAAACCAATCTAAACCAAAGAATACATATTCTGTTCATACGAATCTATCCTAAAAATCTTGTTGGCATTAAATAACCCATTGAGGTTGATATGCCGTAAAATAAAAAAAAAACAAACCAAACCTATCCCTTGTAGCTCTCAATAAGTTTTGTCTCTTTGCTACTTCCCCCAGATCCTGATCTGCCATCCACTTGCTTAAGCCTGCGAGGTATTTCTCACATTGCTTTCCCTTGTCTCTCTTTCCCTCTATTCACCCTGTGAGTATCAGATTCACCAAGCTCTCCTTTCTCATTACATTTTCCAGAAATTTCAGCTGCCTCTTCCTGATGTTAAGTATAAGCTTCCTCTTTGCATCCTCTCCAAAACTTCATTGTTGCTCACACACTCAGTCCATGATATACCTAACATCCTTCTGTAGAACCATACCTCCGTTGCTTTAAGTCTCTTCTTCATCTTTGAGGAGACTGTCAAACATTCGCTGCTATAAAGGAGGAACACGTAGCAGTTCAGTACTCTGTACTTTGTTACGAAAGAAATCCTTCTGTCTTGAAATACTCTGCCTAGCTTTTGGAATGCATCTTTGACCATTCCGTCTTCAGATTTCAACATCACACTTACTGTCCTCTGTCAGAACACTTGCCAGATATTTAAATTTCCACACCTGCTTGATTTTAGTGTTCCCGACCTGTAAATCGCACTTCAGGCTCATCTTTTTTACTGATGACCGTGCATTCTGTCTTCTTGTAGTTTATGCTTAGTCCCTTCTTCTTGCTCTCCTTCGCTACCTTCTGTAGGAGGTTTTGTCATTTCTTTTCCATGTCTGCTATCAGTACTGCGTCATCTGCATATCTTATGTTGTTAAGATTGTGGCTGCTAATGATGAATCCTGGTAAGATTTCCAATTCTCTCAGAATTGCCTCGCTGTATAGGTTGAATAAGTCTGGTGAGAAGACACATCATTGCCTTATGCCCCTTTCTATTTTCATATATCTGCTGAACTAATTCTCAATGCACATGCATGCCGTTTGCTGCCAGTATAGATTCTTGATTATTGTAATATCTTTCCTAAATATATCAAAGTTACTGAGCAGTCCCAACAGATCTTTGTGGCATACTTTGTCAAATGCCTTTGCATAGTGTATAAAACACTGGCACATGTCCTTCTGCATTTGTATTGCACTTTCTGATAACATTCTGAGCATGAATATTGCATTCCTTGTTCCATTGTCTTTAACAAACCCACACTATTCTTGTCCTATCTCTGGCCTGATTCTGCTGCGTGCTCTATTCATCAGACTACAGATGATGAGTTTTGTTATGTAGCTCATTAGACTGATTGTTCGATGAAGTTCACATTTGTTTACACCTGATTTCTTAGGCAGTGCTATGAAAATAGATCTGCCGAGATCTTCCAGTATGTTTCCGCTGTTGTAGATTTCATTTATTATATCTGTGATCTTATCTATGCCAAAATCTTCTATGTGAGTATTTCCATTACAATTCCGTCTGGCCCTGCCACCTTATTTCTATTCAATTTCGCCAGTGCAGCTTTTTTGGTTTTTAGAATTTCAGATCTGTCAGTAGTTCTCTGTATTGTTGATTGTCCTTTTTGATCATGGAAGAGTTCTTCAATATATTCGTTCCAGCTTTTTATGCAGCCTCAGATTTTATGCAGCCTGTTGATGAGCACATCTTCTGTCCTGTTAGTTCCCTTATTTGTTTATGCATATAGTCTTTGTTGGTGGTACTCAATCTCTCTATTTCTGCACATTTTTTGTTTAGCTGCTCTTCTTTAGCCTGCTTGCATTTGGTCCTTATTTCATTGTGTAGTTTTCTGTATTTCGTTCCATATTTTGGCAGAGTTTTCTGCCTCCTTTGTCATTCATTTTTTTTCTTCATCCATTTTCTTTTGGGATGATATCGTTTGCTGATGTCACTAAAGTGTTTCTTAGTGTGTCCCATTTCAAGTTTCCATTTTCATTATGCCCCTCGTATCTTCTTTTCACATTGTCCATATATTTTTCTTTCAGATACAGGTCACTCAGGAGTTTGTTGTATTGCAATTTGGGTGCTGCGTTATGCTTCCTCAGTTTCCATAGTTTCACTCTTAGTTTGCATATAACAGGGTAATGATCACTTCCATAGTTGGCACTTGGGTAGGTTTTTCAGTGAACCATTGCATTCCTGAATCTTTTTATAGAGTCAATTTGGTTTTTAGTTTCTCCACCTGGGCTCCTCCATAATTATCTCGGATGTTCTTAGAACCATGTGTTGGCTATTACCTGATCATTGGCCGTGCACCATTGGATCCATTTTTCTCCACATTCGTTGCGGGTTCCTAGTCCGAATTTTCCAACTATACTCGCTGCCCTTTCCCTGCCTACTTTGGTGTTTAGGTCTCCCCTGATAATTATGACTTCTTGCAATTTGCAAAACACCTTGGCATTGTCTAGCATGGAGTAGAAAGATTTGATTTGTTCTTTCTTACTTTGAACTGTTGGTGTATAAACTGTTCTCATAGCAACATTGAAAGACTTCCCTTTCAGCTTGACTACTGGAATTCTTTTGGATAATTGATAGCATCCCAGAACACATTTCTTGAATTCATGATCTAGTATCAATCCTACTCCTTTACCATTTTTCTCTCTGCTTGCATAAATAATCCCGTGATTGTCACTGACAAAATCTCCATTGTTTGGCCATCTAGTTCCACATACGCCTAAGATGTTGATTTTTAGCCTACTCATTTCTTCTTTCACATTATCTAACTGGTTGCAGTTGTTCAGCATCTGAATTTTCCATGTACCCAGTCATTTTTTGTTTGATGCAAACAGTCGCAAGGTAACAGTTCGGTGAAACCTGTCGGTCATGTCATTCCTTTCTGGGTGAGGGATAGGTTCCAAGGAATTTTAAGAACTAGACAAGATATCTTTAGACATGGGTAGTGAAATGAGGACAGTCTACCCTCATAGATTAAATAAAGGGGTCAGTTCAGAATTCCCTGTAGGTTAACTGGATTGATATACATCTGTGGAAGGCCGAAAAACACATTGGTCAAAACATTGGGATAGCACCAGCAATAGTTCAAATATAGTGTAAATAAATCCTTATCCCAGAAATTCAGACAGTAATTTGCTTTGGTACTAATTTATTTTAACATTTTTTATTTATTTCCTGGACATTTTAATGAGGTTTTTATTACCACTAGAAATACAACTAAAAATGATAAAAGTTAAAAATGCAGTATTTTTATTTCTAGAGGAACAAATTAAAGATTTTTGGCAGGATTTTGAGATGATGGTAAAAAAAAAAAAAAAGCTCATTTGGAACCCTGCTTGATAATAAAAAAATAAAATAAAAAAATTGGCAAACATAGACCTTTGTAACCAGGAAAAAAAAGCGGTGTTTTAACTACACTGTGTGCCAAATTATTATCGAGATAACGTTTTTTCTAATATTTCAAAAATCATCCAATCAATTCACACAAAATTTTCACACAATGTTGGCAACACTGACCTGCGCAATGTAAACAAACTGGCGCCATATTTGTTATCAGCACAGTGATTTGAGCGTGCCAAATTATTAGAAAGGTTTAGTAAAATTCCCAGAATTGAGCAAACAAAATGTTTATTAATGTTACACATGAATGTTTATGATCAAAAGAAGCTAATAAATAAGATAATCAAACAAATAATAAAAAGATACGAACAAAGGCAAAGTTTTAAACAAATTAATAGGGAATGTGCTTTCCCTGTTTTGAAATTACTTGAAGAAGTTGACGATCCATAGAATTTGTTAATTGTAGGATGTCATCTGCTGCAATGCCGCGAGATATGTCAGGTATTGCTTCCCACAACTCAGCATTGAACCTAAATTGTCATCTGTTGGCATACAGTCTTCGCTTCATGATGCTCCAAAGGTTTTCAATTGGGTTCAAATCCGGAGAATTTGCTGGCCACTTCATTTTTCGAGGTCCATCGAAGCCTAACTGTGCAGGTCAGTGTTGCCAACCTTGTGTGAATTGATTGGACGGTTTTTGAAATATTAGAAAAAACGTTATCTCAATAATAATTTGGCACGCAGTGTATGTTCACTACCTCAGCAATGTTTATTTACAAGATTATAAAAAATTATTTACCTTTTATAAAGATTTATTGCTTAGCATTTTACAAAGAAATAAATGGGAAAAGAAATCTTTTCATATGAAAATTAAGATTTCTTCATGAAAGAGTTAAGGTTTCCATGTCAAGGCTTATTCAGTGAGCTGACAGGGTTGCCCTTCTTGAGAGCAAAAGGATCAACTGAAAATAACACTGAAAGCCACTGGACTTGAGCCTAAATAATTTGAAACACATGCACAAGACTATACCAACCAGTGATCTTCAGAACCAAATCAAAATAAGCTTTTGGGTAAAGGTCTTAAAAACAAAAATAATTAAACACCATCTTCGATGGTTAGGACATGTAGCAAGAATGGAAGAATCAAGGTTTCAATATCAAGTCTTATTCAGTGAACTCAATTCACAGAAAAGACCATGAGGTTGCCCCCTTCAGAAGATACAAGGACCAACTCAAAACAAGATTGAAAGCCACTGAACTTGAGCCTTATTCACTTGAAACACATGCACAAGACTGTACTGGCTATGTTCCATCACTATTGTAACCAAAAACTTCAAAGCCAGCAGAAGAAAAAAGGAAGAAGTCAAACGACAAGAGAGAAAGGCTCAATAAAATCAACCTTATCCTCTATCAAGATTATCATGCAGACAATGCCATTGCCTCTTCCAGGCAAGAATTGGTCTACCTAGTCATTAATGCTATCATAAAGAAAGTGATCAGTAAAGGCGAAGTTAAATTTTTGGATACAAGATAAAGCTGATGATGACAATTATTTCCCATTTTATAAAGAGATAAATGTGAAAAGAAATCTTTTTATACAAAAATTAAGATTTTTTTTATCAGTCAGTACTTGGCTGCCTATAGATATTTTTTTGGCAAATTTTCTAGGGATTTTTTTTTTTTTTTAAATTAGCAATGATTTAAAACTTTGTTTTTCAAAAATGAGTAGGAAAAGAGTTAACCTAGAATCAGTAGAGTTTCAGGCTTTGGATTTCAAGATCACAATTAAAAAATAAAATTTGAAAACTGAAACAAGAACTAATCCAAGATATAAAATACTGAGAAGAAAAAATATAATGCTCAGAAACTCTTACATTTATTTTAATTCTCTGACAAAAATGGATTCCGTTTTGCCCGGTCTACCACTGATGTGCTTATGACCATAACTAAATATGTATATCAAGCTCTTGATAATAATAGCAAAGCTCCTGTTGTGGCTCTAAATATCTCAAAGGTATTTGACAGGATTTGGCATGCTGGTCTTCTACATAAGCTTCAGGGCTACAGCATTACAGGATGATTATTTGATTTAAGCAAATCATTCCTGTTAAATCATGAAATGAATGTTGTTCTGAATAGGATCTCTTCCAGATCCTTTCATACAAATGCCAGTGTTCACAATGGCTCTATTCTGGGTCCTACACTGTTTCTGATCTTCATCAATGATCACCTTGATGTCATCAGTTCCCAACTAGGCATCTATGCTGATGTCACTACCATTTACTCCTGACTTAATAGTAAGCCCAGCAGCACTGACAAAATTAACCTGGCCAGTGCTGTCAAAAAGGACCTCCAATTAGTGGTTGACTGGGACATGAAATGGCTTGTAAATTTTAATGCCTCTAAAACTGTTCTCATTTAACCACCATGAGAAATGTCACCTCGCCCACGTTGGCATGGTTGATGCTCGTCTCTATGAGAGTATATCACTGTGTCTTCTTGGCTTCACGTTTTCAATTGACTTGAAGTAGAACAACTACATTGAATCAATAACTGCATCTGCTCCATGGAAAGTTGGCTCACTGTGTTATGCTAAAAAGTTTTTCTTGTTAGAATCCATTTTATATATCAACAAATCTACTATTTTGTTCTTGCATTGAATACTGTTGCCATATCTGGTGTGGTGCAGGGGCACCACACCAGACAAAATCCAAAGAAGGCTCTATAATGTAATCAGTCCTGAATTGGCTTCTTGACTTCAGACACTTTCTCACAGACATATTGTGGCTTCTCTTTGTTTTTCTTACAAATATTTTTATGGCAACTGCTCTGACAAGCTTTTTTTCCTGATGCCCCAACAACATGAATTTAAGCATGCTACTAGATTGACATCTACATTCCATGTTTTTACTGTTGAAATAGTTAAATGCAACTGCCAATTCTATTCCAACAGTTTTTTTCCTTGTACTTCCCAACGTCGAAACTCCCTTCTTCTTACTCGATTCCCTGATAACTACAATCTTCAAAAATTTTAATGCGGCTTCAATTGCCATCTTCTGTTGTCTTGATCCCTGTCCATTTTTCCTTTCCCTAATCACTCCTGCACCCACTCTTTTCTCTCACTTTCACTCTCAGTAACCCCCTGCATGCTAGTGGCACTCCGGCCTTGATTAGGGTGAAATGTTAAAAAAAAAAAATCCATTGATATAAAATTATGAAAAAAAAATAAACTTGTTTTGATAGTTATTTATAAGATATTAAATAATCAATATTGCATTGTAGATGGCTTAAATATTTTGATAATATTTTAATCATTTCTTAATTTTTGAATATAAAGATTTCTTTATAAAATGGTAAATAATAAATGTTTTTTTAAAAAGGTAAATAATTTTTTATAATCTTATGAATAAACATTGCCTTGAGAATGAACATAGTTTAAATAACAGCGGTGTCAATGGAAAAGCCAGACGTCTGAAATACCGCTTTTTTTGTGGGCACAAAGGTCCATGTTTGTCAAAAAATTGTTACTTATTTACATTCAAGCAAAGTGAAAAGATTGTGATCCTCAAAAGTGTTGGCTTACTTGACATGGCCACCTGCTTTCTGTATGCGGATCCGTTCTTCATAAACGGTTGGATTGTGATTTGTTGTGAGAGGGACAGGAACATACTGCTGAGCATCTTCTTTGTATCGACACAGGATGGCCTACAAATAGAACCAATAAACTGATGTAGAAGTAAATAAACAAGATAATTTTGTGATCCATTAGGATTCTGTTGTAAATAAAAAAAAAACTATTGTGCAATTTTACATGAACAAATTAATCCTGGATTTGGTGATTTTTATCATTGTCCGTTTTTTTCAGAAAGTTTCAGCTGTGTATCTCCCTGACATTCCTTGCGTTAAGTTCTATCGACAATAATTTTGACTCCACATAGGGATTGAACTGGCACCGTCTAGGTAGTAAAAACTAATTCTTTGTTGGATTAACCTGTCTCACCTGCTAGTTTGGATGGGTTCAGCCCAAGTAGCTCAATTTAAGCACATTGCTTTTTCTCAAAAAGAGAGACACTTTCAGTTGCCTGGTGGGGACACCTCAACGTGGTGTAATGGTTAACAAGTTTGTCTCACAAACACAATTATGACTGAGTAGTGAGTTCAATCTTCACCGGGTGCCCCCATCCTTTTGGCCTTGTGCTACATCTAAGTTATGCTTACAAAAATTACCATAACATTTGGGCACCTTGGTGTAGTGAATGGTTAACAAGCTTGTTTCACTAGCTCAGTTATGACTGAAAAGTGAGTTCAGTCCTCACTAGATGCCCCATACTTTCAACTTTGTGCCACATCTAAGCTATGCTTAGAAAACAACCTTTCAGTTACCTGGTGAATTCTTGTCAGAGTAATTCAGGACTGAACAGACTTTCTGATTCCTGGATAATATCCCTAGAACAATTTAACACCTTCGCTGCCCATTATGTTCCAAAATATTACCAAATTCTCTTGGATCATAATGGTAATATTAGCCGTTTTCCTATAAGGTAACATTTGGCATTCACTGACCGAGCAGCCAGTACTGTTTACAGATTAGATTTATAAAATCTTTCTCTTAAAACAATTTCTTAAGAAAACAGGTTTTTCAAGTCCAGTAGCTGTTATCACTCTTTCTAGTACTGATGTGGGTTTCTTTCGTAACCTTTTGTTTGAAGATGCATGGAATGTCAACATCTTGATTATATTATTATTAATTTCTCTTCGAATTACATGTACTATCCATTTTAATTGTTGCTGCTGTTGGTTGTCCTCAAGTGATGTGGTTTCTGTTATTTGTTACAGTTCTTTGTTTGTGATTCTGTACTGCCAGATCCAGAAGTGTTCAACGGCATATGGTCCTCTCTAAGACCTACAGGTTTCTTTCACACGAAGCCATTTTTAATCTTTGATCTTAGAAAGCAGTTGTATACAGATGAGAGTTTAGATATTTCGGAACAGATCTGATGCCATCCATACAAAAGTCTTGATCTGACAAGGCCATTTAAAAAAATAGCTTAAGTTAGAAATATTGTTAGAAAAGCAAACAGAATGGAGAAATCTTGCCTTCCAGTGGAGTGCAGGACAACTCAACATCACTGATTGTTATAATTCCCGTATTGATGGGGGATTTCCTTCCTAACTTTAATAGTAGATCAACATTTTCATTATGACATTGTTTTCTCTTCATGCCTGTTGTAACCTAGGAAGTGTTATTGAATGATGAATAATGAAAACAGAAGTTGGAAATGAAATGGTAATCTTTATAACATCAACAAAATACAATACTCACCAGTGACATGAAGTAGGTAAACCACTTCTAGTGGTGGACTACTTAGAGAGTATATTACTCTTACTGACAATAGTGTCCAATGTATTTATGAGGATTGGGATTAGTATTCATAGGTACGGTATATAACATCCCCCTTTTTATATTTACTCTGCACAGAGTCAATATCTTTTCCTTTTCGGGTTAATGTCGATTCTATTTGTCTCTCTTCTCTTCCTTTTACTTTGCCATTTTTTTTCTCAGGAACTTTCCAAGGAATGGGTAAATCAAATGTGTTGAAAAGAACTTCCACAGGCTCAACATCCACTGGAGTATTGTTCTCTTCATCTATGTCTACTTTTTGTTTGATTCAAATGCCTTTTGTGCGCCATTTTCAGTTCTTTGACTAAATATATCATCCTACAGATTCTTTTCCTGATAATCCCAACTTCCCAATATCTCATCCTCATTGCCAAAATGTTGTAAGCTAGGAAGGGTCAGTGAATTAGGAATAACCAAAACAGAGGTTGAAAATGAAATGGTAATCTTTATAACATTAACAAAATACAATACTCGCCAGCGGTGTGAAGTAGGTGAACCACTGTTAGTGGTGTACTACTCAGACAGCATATTGCCCCTACTTACAATAATGTCCAATATACTTATGAGGATTGGGATACAACCATTAGTGTTTTATGTACAGAGAAGGCAAGTAAATACTAAGTGTAGTATCTACCCTCAGGTGGACAAACTACATCTTTTCTTTCAATTGCATCTGTGTCTTTGGACAGAACACACCCACACAAAATTATTGAAGGATGCCTGGTCCTGGGGATCCCAAACCTGTAGCAACACCTCCCTCATTACACCAAAGAGAGAGGGTCAGTGGAATATCAATGCTGGTTGATGGAATTTTTACTTTTGTTTTTTCTGAAATTTTTAAAACTATCTTAGTCATTACCAAGAACATTGATTGTAGATAAAAATTGTATTAGCTTCATTCTGGCATCGCAGACAACCAAACTACAACTATTAACATAAGATATTAAATAACTAGTGCAAAAATGACAGCAATTGTTAGAAAGTTTTATTAGTGAGATGCAATGAAACAAAAGTCTCAATAAAAGATTCAATAAAGCAGATAAAGAATTTAATATAACAGTGAAATGGAATTATCTCTGGGAAGAAAAAGATTAGCATCAAAATAACAAAGACTGCAATGACAAAGCCTATTTCAAGACAAAGTTGAAACAAGAAGATCATTTAGTAGACAAAGGTATCTGAGTGCCTAACATGAAAGGCTTGAACAAATAAGACTGCAATCTAAGAAAACAGAGTAAATGTTATATTTGTTAAGATTATTAACATGACTAAGGGACGTAATCACTCATAAATTTATTAATTTAAATTGATTTACCTCCCTTCCCACTACAGATGGGACAGGAAATATATAAATACATATTATTATATGTTTTAATATCAAAATATGAGCCCTGAGAGTCACTCAACGTAGAGGGTTACTGAATGGTGTTGTTTGTCAGAATGTAAGAGGAGGAGACAAGATGTGCAGATTTTGAGGATATGTAAGAAAGATAATGGTTGACCCTAGACTTGAAGAGATTGTAGTGATTGGGGATGGTAGTCTCTTCCACAGGAAATGTTTTGGAGAAAAATTTAACTGAGTGGACCTTTTTCCTTACAAATCAAATTTTCTTTTAGTATCCATTTCTTCATTGTTACTAGTGGGGAGGCTTTCTTAGATACTTAAAAAAAAATAATAATAATAATAAATAAAATCATTTAGGGTCCTATTGACCCCATAGGTGTCCTTACCAATCAAATGCCAGATAGCTGATGGTCAAGTGGCAAAGCTTTATGTGACAAAGGAATAAGTGGCAAACAGTCTTACCTTACTATCTCCCAAATTTGAAATGTACATTGTGTCATTTAGGCACAAGATAACAGTCGCAGTTGTACCATCTTTCCAAGCAGGTTTGCTTTAAAAAGACAAAGAAAAAGGAGTTAATTAAACAATATGAGTATTGTTGAAAAGTTCTTAGCCAAACCAAGAAGGGATTCTAAAATGACTTTTGATGTTGGGATGTATAAATTTGTAGGTGTGGAACAATCAAAGACAAAAATTAAAAGGGAATTAAATCTAAAGAGAAGGAAAGGGAAGAAAAAGTAATTGTTAAATTTAATGGTTTGATCTGGTTTATGGCATATCAACCTCAATGGGTTATTTAATGCCAACAAAATTTTTATTGCTGGTTATATTTTCTATCTATCTATCTATCTATCTATCTATCTATCTGTTTGGTTTGTTTTGTTTTACGGCATATCAACCTCAATGTGTTATTTAATGCCAACAAGATTTTTATTGCTAGTAATATTTTCTATCTATCGATCTATCTATCTCAGTTTGTTCATATCTATCTATCTATCTCAGTTTGTTCACATCTATCTATCTCAGTCCGTTCACATCTATCGATCTATCTCAGTATATATTGGTTTTCTTTATTTTGTTTTACGGCATATCAACCTCAATGGGTTATTTAATGCTTAAAAAATTTTTATTTCTGGTAATATTTTTTCCCAAAAATGTATTGCTGGTAATAATCGTTTTTTTTTTTTTTTTTTTACAAAGTACTTCTGGTATTAAAAACTATTTTTACACTTTCAAAACCTTCTGGTCAGAGGCCTAGTTGTCGGATGTAGTTTATCATCATACCCAGGATGGTTAAATTTAAAGTAAACTGGTTAACCCATTCATGCCCACCAACCCTAAAAATTTGGGGGTTAGAATTAAAAACCTATAAACCATTTTTTTTTCTAAAACTATAATTAAAGCCAAATTTCTTTATTGTCAGAAACCCATAATTAATGCCAGTTGTCTTTTTTTTTGAAAACTATAATCAATGGTAGTTTTTTTTTTCTAATACTGATATAATGATATGTAATTTTGTATAATTTTATATATCAACAAACAGTATTTAGAAATATATGACAAACTGGAAAGGTTTTTTTTGACAAGTTTCATCTGTTAGGATTTAATCAGACTGGGCTTTGCATTTAGGCTCTTACAATATATCACCATTTTATATTGTCACTGTGTGGGATAGTCTCGGACAAAGGTGATGAAAAGAATACAGATGATTTCGGCTAGGTTGAGAAAAAAAATTCTTTCAAACATTTTGAAACTACCTGTGTCTTTCGTTTTGTGTGCATGAATAAACGTGGCAACATCAACAAAGCCTAGTCTGATGAAATCCTAATCAATGAAATATATCACAAAAAAAAAAAAAAAAAAAAAAATTTTCCAGTTTGTCATATTTTTTAAAACTATAATTAATGTCATTTTTTTTTTTTTTTTTTTTTTTAGGAGCCTATAATAATGTTAGGATATTTTTTATAGGACTATAATTAATGTCATTTTTTTTTTTTGGAGCCTATAATAATGTTAGCGCATTTTTTTATAAAACTATAATTAATGTCAATTTTTTTTTTTTTTTTTTTAGGAGCCTATAACAATGTTAGGATATTTTTTTATAAAACTATAATTAATATTGATTCTGTTTTTTAATTTTTTGTTTAGAAACCCAAGCCATAGAAAATCAAACAATCATCAGAAAAGTTTTGAAAGTGATTACATTCAGTTTGTTATTTACAGACTTCCTTTAACAATATTAAAATTCCAGGAGTCTGTTAAAAATACACCTTTAAGTGCTGAATCTAGGTGCGTCGTTAGTGTTGTTGCTCCCATGTCGTTAGAAGTTTCGGGTCTAAATAAACAACAGACTTCTTCGATGGGTGATCCGACCGAATATGATGAGTATTCGGACTGCACTTGAAATAAAATTTGCTACTAGCTTTAGGACATGCTTTATATAAGTTCCCCCAGAAAACAGCAACTAGTCAAGACTTCACTTAGGCTATTTGATGTTATAGATCAGGTATGCTTGGTTGTACTGATCTTCCTATATGCGGCCAAGACAGGGTGTTTTTAAAAAGCATTTTATATTTTTTTTTTTTTAGAAAAAATATTATTTTAATTCCAGGTGTCTCATTAAAAAGCATTTAATTTTTTTAATTTTTTTTTTTTAACATTTTTATAATAGATTCTTTCAGCAATAATCTATCAAACTTTAGATAAGAATGGCGCAGTTGGGCTTTAGATATCTCGAAGGCAAAGATGAATTGATACAGCTGAGATTAACTGAAGGTATCTGTGATGCTTTGTACAAACATAAAATTTTAGAACTGACTAAAATCTATAGCGATTCGGCAACAATTAGAGTTGGTTGAAAAATTCAATACATCCAAGAGTAACACCAAAGCATACAATATATCAAATTCCCATGTGCAATGCAAATACTTTCATAAAAATAGGACAAGAAAAAATGTCCAGCTTTAGAACAAGTATGCATGAATGAAAGGAAAAAATTTAAACATTTTCCAGGGATCAGGTGATTACTTGCATTATTTACTGGACTGTTAAAAGAAAAATAGAAAGGGTTGCTTGCAGAAAATTTAAATCTTTATTGTCAGAGAAATCTGTCCTATATCTTCACAACGTTTCTGGGATCAGGTATTATGATTACTTGCATTATTTACATTATTCGGACTGTTATCCTCATCATCATTGCTATATTCACAACATTTCAGCCTCTAGATCTCTGGGATCAGGTATTATGATTACTTGCATTATTTACATTATTCGGACTGTTATCCTCATCATCATTGCTATATTCACAACGTTTCAGCCTCTAGATCTCCAAGATGAGTTATTATGATTGCTTGCATTATTTACATTATTCAGATTGTTACCTTCATCTTTATTGCCACATTCACAACATTTCAGCCTCTAGATCTGAGATGAAGTATTATGCTTACTTGCATTATTTACATTATTCGGACTGTTATCCTCATCATCATTGCTATATTCACAACGTTTCAGCCTCTAGATCTCCAAGATGAGTTATTATGATTGCTTGCATTATTTACATTATTCAGATTGTTACCTTCATCTCTTATTGCCACATTCACTTCATCATTTATATTCCAGCCTCTAGATCTCTGAGATGAAGTTATTATGATTACTTGCATTATTTTTATTCATTATTACCTTCGACTTTCAGTTATCCTTGCATCATCATTGCTATATTCATCAATATTCAACGCTTTCAGCCTCTAGATCTCCAAGATGAGGTATTATGATTGCTTGCATTATTTACATTATTCAGATTGTTACCTTTCATCTTTCTGAGATGAAGTGCCATTATTTACATTATTTCATCCTCATCATCATTCATATTCACAACGTTTCTCTAGATCTGAGATGAAGTATTATGATTGCTTGCATTATTTACATTATTCAGACATCTTTATTGCCACATTCTTCATTGCCATATTCACAACATTTCAACCGTTGTACGCTCAGGACTTCTTCAGGTGAATGGATAAAGATGTTAGTTAGATCCAGTGACTAGACCCAAAGAGTTGTGAGTTCAATACCAGGTGACAGCAGTGGTGAACCAAAACTTGGAGATTTGAGTTAAAGGGAAATTACTGAGACATTTGGAATAGACATGACACCTGGAATTAAAACAATCTACCCCGGTGGACAACATAAAGGGTTTGGTTCAGAATTCCAATCAACTGAAGAAGGTCAGAGCATAAATTGGCAAAAACGTTGTGAATATGGCTATGAAGATGAGGATAACAGTCCAAATAATGTAAATAATGCAAGTAATCCTCAGAAAAATACAGCTGTATTTGTGATACAAAGAGATAAATGGAAAAGTGCCAGAGGAAAGATTAAGATGAATGGCATTCCTTTTCCTATGTAAATAGATACAGGGAGTGATGTCCCCTTAATCCCAATAAATTTCAGGGAACAAATGGACAAACACAAAGAAAAGTTGGCTTAAACTAAGTTTGATGGCACCATCAAAACGTTAGTTTGTTTTGAAGGAACTTTTGAGACCAACACATGCTTCAAAATTATTCCCATCATACTCGTGAAATGTGAAAAAAGTCAGGGACTCATAGGAATAGATACCTTGAAAGTGGATACAACTAAATTAATTAACGGTGTGAAGATGACATGGATCTGGCACTTGTACTCCGGCCCTGTTGCTGGGGGATATCACAGCTATATCTAGGTTGGACCGGCTCGGGCCTGGACCAGCTATGACAATCCAAGACCAGCTATGACTAGCTTAGACAAGCTATCACCAGGTTAGACCAGTGACCCGAGTGTTTCCACTCGGTTTCCCCACGTTAAAACCAACCTTGTGTCACATCCTGACTCAGTGAGGCGTCAAGTAAAATATCCATGGATATGTTAAAAGCATACAAAGCAAGGATTCAATTAGAAGAAAAGAGTCAACCCTCTTATTTGGGTCTTGCAAACACCTCACCCATTCACATGCTACATTTAGTAGTTGTGAAATTAAAAACAAAGGCGAAGCAAGGAATTTTAATGCATGTTTGCCCTAGTGGTAGTAATTGGACTTCACCCATTGTTGTTTTATGAAAACCAGATGGAGATTTAAAAAATATGTGGAGATTGCAAAATAGGAGTAAACCACAAAATAGTTGTGAAATTAAAAACAAACCACAAAAGTAAACAAACCATAAAAGTAAACCACAAAATAGTTGTGGAATTAAAAACAAACCACAAAAGTAAACAAACCACAAAAGTAAACAAACCACAAAAGTAAACAAACCATAAAAGTAAACCACAAAATAGTTGTGAAATTAAAAACAAACCACAAAAGTAAACAAACCACAAAAGTAAACAAACCACAAAAGTAAACAAACCATAAAAGTAAACCACAAAATAGTTGTGAAATTAAAAACAAACCATAAAAGTAAACAAACCATAAAAGTAAACCACAAAATAGTTGTGGAATTAAAAACAAACCACAAAAGTAAACAAACCATAAAAGTAAACAAACCATAAAAGTAAACCACAAAATAGTTGTGGAATTAAAAACAAACCACAAAAGTAAACAAACCATAAAAGTAAACAAACCATAAAAGTAAACCACAAAATAGTTGTGAAATTAAAAACAAAGGCGAAGCAAGAAATTTTAATGCATGTTTGCCCCAGTGGTAGTAATTGGACTTCACCCATTGTTGTTTTATGAAAACCAGATGGAGATTTAAAAAATATGTAGAGATTGCAAAATAGGAGTAAACCACAAAATATGCTCGGATTTGTTCCTGATTCTTAACAGTGAAACCACTATTCATGAGTTGTCTGGAATTAAATACTTTGCTAAAATTGACCTCTGTCTATAACCAGATACAAATTGATGAAAAATTTAAAGAGGTCACCACAGTTAACTCTCCAATAGGCTTACTTGGATGAAAGCATATGCCTTAGGGTGTAAAAACAATTACTATTTTTTAAAGAGCCATTGAAAATCTACTAACTGGTGATGTTACAAATAGGATCATTTGTCAAGATGATATGTGTATTAGTGCTACCAGTAGAGAAGAGCTAAAACAAAAAAACGGATTTTAAACAAATTAAAAAATGCTGGGATGACCATAAACAAGAATAAATGGGTGTTAAATTGCAACACAAATAACATGTCTTTGATACCAGATTTCCAAAGACAGAATTTCACCAGACACAAATCTGATAAAGAAAATAAGCAGAGGTATCTACACCTACAAATAAAAAAGAATTGGGATCATTTTTAGGGTTAGCTAATTTTTAAAGCAGATATTTACCAAAGTATGGTGAACTGATAGAATCTTTTGCAGAGTTACAAAAAAAGGAACAACAAATTTAAATAGACTCAATGGCAGAAAATAGAATTTGAAAATTTAAACAAAGAACATGTAAACATTTTTTTTTTACCCTAAAAAGGAAGTTATTTTAATTACGGATGCAAGTGAGCATGCCGTATCAGTGACTTTGTCTCAAGAAGGTCATCCTATAATGCAGGGGTCAGCAACTTATGGCATGCACGCAACACCAAGCAATTTCCAATAGCATGCAGTCACAAATGACATCACAAAATCTGAACAAATAACTACTACAATGCAAGGAAGATACTTAGCTGTTTCAATTTTATTATATACTAAAGTATATATATTACTGTATATAATTGATATAATGGAATATGTGCACACCTGTGTTCCCCCTCACTGGAATATGATTGGCTGGTGTCCGTCATAAATACCGACGAACGTGTAGGAGAGTCAAAGGCTAAGTCAGAGTCTAAATCTATAACGACGCCCATTGGACTACGCCATGGATCTACACTTCTTACCTGAGACTATGACGCGTACCAGTCGATTACTGCTACCATATTCTACTTGGTTATAGTAGTCAAAACCACTTAGCTACTTCGATTAAATATATCCCTTTCCAGGACATATCAATAATATATTGTAGAACAGGTATATTGACCTTGACTTGTATAAAAATACATGTGGTGCTGGTACACTGAATGATTTTAAAACCCAATGTCGGCACATAGCTAGCAAAAGGTTGCCAACCCCTAGTATATGTACCTTTCTAGAAGGTTAATGTCAGCAAGCCTAACTATTCAAATATTGAAAAAGAAGTATTAGATATCATATGGAGTACACATTGAGCTTACCAGTTTTTATTTGGCATGAAGTTTCTGCTTAGATCTAAGCATAAAACTTTAGACTTTATTTTAAACACAAGGAAGGAGTTACCTAAAGTTGCATCATCTAGAATTTTAAGATGAGTCATAAAGCTCATGACCTTTGACATCAGCATTGAATATGTGAAAGGAAACACTATTCCACATGTAGATGCTCTCTCATGACTAAAATTCAACAATGAATGATTAGAAAGATCAGACAATTCAGAAGATAAAATATTACACTGGACTGAAACTGATGCATTACCCTTAGATTTGTCTATATTTCTGGTTTGGTTTGTTTTATGGCATATCAACCTCAATGAGTTATTTAATGCGAACAAGATTTTTATTGCTGGTAATATTTTGTTCCAAAATGTATTACTGGTAACATTTTTTCTTCAGAATTGTACTGCTGGTAATATTTTTTTTTACAATAATGTATTGCTGGTATGAAAACCTATTTTTACATTTTCATAGTGTTCTCTTAACTATTTGCCCATAGCAGGGACCCTAACAAGTGCTACCACCCGAAATCAGAGTGGACCTGGGAACACTACCAATAAGGATGTGGTTCCACACTCCTCAAAACCTCCTAATCAGAGTCCTTGCTGTTTGATGTAGATTATCGTCTTACCCAGGACGCAGATGTAGTTTATCGTGATACCCAGGATGGCTAGATTTCTGAGATGAGGTATTGTAACTATTTACATTATTTACATTGTTCAGACTGTTGTCGTATTCACACAAGGTTGAAATAATAGAGAACATCACTGGAAAATATGAAAACTTAAGGAATCAGTGCATATGCTGAGCCACAAAAATCTCCTAAGCTGGCCAAGCATAGAAATGAATACAATATGGGAACCAGTAATACGGAGTGCTAGAGAAAAACAATAATAACAACAAATTATAATATGAGCTCTGATAAAAAATGATTACTGAGACACTAGGTTTATAAGTCCCCAGAATTCACGCAATGTCCTCAAGGATAAAAGCGTTGGTTGAAATAATCCAGTGACATGACCCAAAGAAGTTGTGAGAGAGTTGAGTTACTAAAGGGAAATAACTGAAACTGAGATATCTGGAAGAGGTATGGCATGTAGAACAAGAACAATCTACCCCCGGTGGATGAAATAAAGGGTTCAGTTCAAAATTCCAATCACCTGAATAAGGCTGAAGGGGACAACGGCCAAAACGTCATGAATATGACAGCAAAGATGAGGACAACAGTACGAAAATGTAAATTACAAGTAATATTTTCCAGAAATGGGGTGCCAAAAACATTAGTCTCTGACTATAACCAAAATTTTGTGATGAAAGTTTCTGTTGGTGGTTAAAACAAATTGGATGCCTCCCTTATAAAACACCACCATACCATCCACAATCAAGTGGAATTGCAAAAAGAATGGTGTAGATGGTAAAAATGGGGTTGAAGGCATTTTCCCCATCAGGAGACACCAGAGTTACCTACCAGGACTATTACTGTCATAGAACTCTTCTACATGCTGGTAAAATGCAAAGTCCCTCTCCTTAATGGGAAGAGAAATAAGATTGCCTGTAACAATGTTGTACTGAATAAATGAAAAAATGTGGTACAAAAAAGAGAGCCAATCAAGTCTTGAAAAAGTTAACTTTATTGTACAAAAATGACATAATACAACTGTAATAGCAATAAGTAGACAGAACGTATTGGCTCATCCTGATCAAATAAGACCTAAAATCGACAACAAAGAAATCAAGATGGAAGAGAAGGAGGAACCTGAAAAGGGGGAAAGCATGAGTGCTTCTGATGGTGAATTGCTGCCGGATGTAGCTTATCATCATACCCTGGATGGGCCAACTTAAGGTTCTGCATAAAGATCTTCCTACAAAACCATGACATCCATTTTCAGTCAAAAGACAGGTAGACAGTTTCTCTACCAGCTCTTGGTATTTTTGCAAGCTTTCTTTCAAAGACCTCTTCCAAATTCCTTTCCCATTTCTACTTACAAACAAACTCTGGGGACCCCATCCTGTTCATTATTTTAGGGAGCTACTGCATTCTTTCCAAAATTTGCATGAGCGTGAAAGATTTCTGAAAAATTGGACAACTCACTTTTTGGCAGCAACTTTTAAATATTCCGCATCAGTCTTTTTGTAAGCCTCAATAAGACATTTCTTAATTTCTTTTTCAATCTGTCTAACCTCTCCGCCTGTAAAGAAAAAAAAAAGAAAGAAAGAATTTAGCCGAACTGCATATAATGGTCACATGGCATTTTTAGTAAACATATAGCCACAAAGATCATAGTTTTTTAAATGCTGGAGACTGGAATATTTTTCTGCGACATCATGTCAGTAAAATATCTCATCAGCTGTTCCAAGACAGTAATTACTTTTAGTTTTTTTAGTTATGTTTAGTTTGGTTTGTTTTACGGCATATCAATTGCAATGGGTTATTTAATACCGACAAGATTTTTATTGCTGGTAATACTTTTTTCAAAAATATATTACTGGTAATATTCTATTTTTTTCAAAAATATATTGCTGGTAAAAACTTTTCCAAAAGAGTATTGCTGGTATTAAAACCTATCTTTATACTATCATAGTGTTTTGACCCCTTTCGAATGGGGGAGGGGTTTAACTATTTGCCCATAGCTGGGACCCTGACAGGTGCTACCACCACAGATCAGAGTGAACCTAAGAACACCAGCAATTAAGAGGTGGTTTCACAATCCTCAAAACCTTCTGATCAAAGGCCTTGCTGTTGGATGTAGTTTATCGTCTTACCCAGGACGTGGATGTAGTTTATCGTCTTACCCAGGACGTGGATGTAGTTTATCGTCATACACAGGACGAGTTCCAAGTTGTCTCAGAATATTCTCAGATCACTATTAAATGGAGGTGATGCTGCAGTTTATGGGTGTACCTCCAAAAATTTAGCTGGGCAGCTGATCTATACTCTCGCCTCTCACAGCTCACTGGAAGTAAAAACTGGTTTGGAACATTCAATACCTCTAAAAACAAGCTAGGAACAAGTCATCATCACCAAGCAGACCCCGAGTTTTCTCCAATTATGATGAACAGGTGTACTCTCCAGGAGGCTCCTTGCCCGGAACATCTTGTTGTGTCCATAAAGAAATACATAAAAATTAATTATAGTATCAAAAATAATTATAACAATTATAATTAGCATTAATTCAGTCATTCTAGACCAATGAGAATCGACCCCACTTCTCTCTTCTACACAAACACATGACATTCTCACTATTGGACAAGCAGTTCACACAGACAGGTCGTTAACATGTGCGTCAACAAAAATTTTGTCTCCTTTTCCTTTTTCAGGTCATAATAGTAACATTTATCTCTTAATATTTAATAAAAAGTTGAGGTAAGAAAACCCTAGACACGTTTTGTATTTTCTAACTAAATTATCTGGACGCTTATTACACACATCTATAAATAAAAAAAAAAGTACATACAAGAAAGACTGTATACACTTTGCTTATTCTTCAACTTATCCTTCTGTTAGATTCCAATTCATAATGATCTACATTTGATCCCAAAATCACAATTTTACTCAGTATTACACGAGATATCCGCATATCAACCAGATAATAATACTCATTCTGTTGTACACTATTTACATTATTCGGACTATTGTCCTCATCTTTGTTGCCATATCTATCACAAAGTTTCAGCCGTTATATGCTCTGGCCTACTTCAGGTGGCTGGAATGTCGAACTGAGCTCTATTTTGCTCACCGGGGTAGGCTAATTTCCAGTTTCATTTTATTTTCTATATTTATGTTTATTTTTATTTATTATAAATCCTGGTAATAGGTGTTTATTCTCATGGTTACATATGGAAATTATATCTGATCATATTGTTTTAAGGTATTAAATATGCTGGGGGAGTAATATGCGTTAAAGATTGTAGTGGATTTATATATTAATAGTAGGTGTGATGTGTAAGTGATGGTGCTGGGTGTTGGTGGTAATGATAATATTATTAGTTAATAGTTATTGTAAAGTGGTAAAAGTGATTACTAATGGTGGTGCAATGATAATAATGATAGATGCAATTATTTTGATGGTATCTTGAAATTAAATTGTGATTGTTGGTGGTTTGTCTATTTTATCCGTTTGGTATGAATTCGGATAATAGGTACTTGTTCTCATGCCTACATTTGGAGATTATCTCTGATTTTTTGTTCAGTAAGTTCTTTTGCGGTTTGTGTGATATTATTGCTACTTTTTCGTGTAGGCAAAGTAGGCATTTTTTCGTAATGTTGTTGTAGGCAGGGGCTTTTTTCAATATTTCCCAACTTATTGTTGGTGTGATATTTTTGTCTTGTTGCTGCCATATGTATGTAGAAAGTGTTGTGCTGTTCAAATATTTCCTGTTGTTGAATGAAAGGTTGTGATTGTTATTACTCATCATTCAAGATTGGAAGCAGAGATCCTTACTGGTCAAGGAAAGGAGGAAAGAGTTTTAATTCCAAGAATCCCCTTAATTCCTCCAGATCTTCCTTTTAAGTTCAAAAGACTTTAGTTTCCAGTGAGAGTGAGCTATGCAATGTCAATCAATAAGTCCCAAGGACAATCATTGAAAGTAACTGGACTTTATCTGATGGAACCTTGCTTTTCTCACAGCCAGCTCTATGTTGATTGTTTAAAGGTTCATTGTTTTAATGAATCCTGTTGTTTAAAAAATATTGTTCAAGTTTAATAAAATTTAATATGTACTCAATATTAAAAGCCCAATCAAGAGCCCTCTACAGGAGTTAGTTTAAATACAGCTAAATGGGTAGTTCTTAAACTAGTTTTAAATAAATTCAAGTGAGAAATATGAAAGGTAACAACTTCCACACAAATGGAATATTCCATTTTTCAGAAATACGAGATATGTAAGCTGAAATCCACAGAGAAACCTGAAATTCAAAGATAGGTGTACCCCCTTGAAAATAATGTCTGATTTTAGAATCAACTTTTATTCCTGAATGAATGTATTTAAACAGTGTTTAAATCAGTCAAAATAGGAAGCCTGGGCATCCATACAATTCTGCCATCGAGGTAAAAGTTTATTTATGCTGATAAGATATTTTAGAATCAACTTTTATTCCTGAATGAATGTATTTAAATAGTGTTTAAATCAGTTAAAATAGGAAGTCTGGACATCCATACAATTCTGCCATCGAGGTAAAAGTTTATTTATGCTGATAAGATATTTTAGAATCAACTTTTATTCCTGAATGAATGTATTTAAACAGTGTTTAAATCAGTCAAAATAGGAAGTCTGGGCATCTATACAATTCTGCCATGAAGGTAAAAGTTTATGCCGTTACAATATTTCAAAAACAAATTTTATTCCTGAATTAATGTATTTAAACAGCTTTTAAATCAGTTCAAATAGGAACCTCGGACATCTATATAGTTCTACCATCAAGTTAAAAGATTATTTATGCCTTTACACTAAAACTCTAAAAGGTTTGGGGCTTACAGCTACATCATGTTGAAAAACCAGTTCCCATATCATATCCAAAGTTAGGCAACATCAAGCTTGATCAGTACATAGATGGGTTACTACTTGGCAATACCAGGTGCCGTAAGCTTGGATGTGCAGGTGGTGTAATGGTTAATGGCTTGGAATTGTTAATCGCAGAGCTGAGTCACAATTCCAATTGCATTCATTATATTCACTTAACCTTGAGAAAGGTATAATCCATCTCTTCTACCACCAGCTATGGGTTAATTAGTAAGATTTGTATCACAAAACCATTATTGTCTTACAATGTAAAACTATTTTCTGGCTTTAAATAACCTCCAAAGGGTTGATAAGTGATAGAAAAGGAATCAATCAATCAATAATGTTTTCGATGCAAAGAAATCTTTGAATGTTGTTACTATATCTTCTTTACAATGGAATGTCTTTTGCCTTAAAAAATTGTCAAGATGATTGAAAAAGGGATAATCAGTGGACAAAGAGTCATTGGAATAGAGCGGCTGTGGAAAAGACTCATATCTCAAATTGCTGAGTTCTTGCAGTATCATCCTGGCAACAGGTGATCGAACATTGTCAGAAAGCAGAATTGGACCTCATCGATTAAACAGTGTCAGTTGCATTTTACTTAACTAAATGTGCATTTCATCCAGTTTCTGACCATAAACTTCAGCAAAGAAGCTCTGATTATTTTTCCAGAAAGCTGTAGTGGATAATGCTAATGACAGACCACCAAACAGTGCAAAATTGCACCAGCAAAAGATTATATTGGAAAGCATTGTGGTCCCTCGTAATGATCAAATCATTGAGTTGACCATTTACCACTGTCATTAAGGATCCATTTCTCATTACAATCACGGTTTGATCAAGATATGGAACATTCAAATTTTGACGATGCATCATTGAATACACCTCAAAACTCTTTGACTTTCACCGAGTCAATGCAAAACCCGTTTATCGAGTTTCCTCACTTTAGCAACTTTCTTGAGATGGTCCGATATTTTGAAATGCTGACATTCATTATCCGAGATATTTCTGTGACAATTTGACATGGGTTTTATTCAACTAGTGTTTTCAGATATTGATTGTCAATTGCAAATGAGCATCCTCTACCACCTTAATCTTTAAAACTTGTATCCCCATTGTGGAACCGCAGAAACGGGGCCTGTAATGCCTGATTACAAGTGGGTCCTTCACTCCATGCTCTGTTAATGTTGTCAGCAGTTTCAGTGGTATTATGGTCAACCTTGAACTCAAGGATAAAAAGCAAATGCATTTGTTCTTTATGTCCAAGATAAGCAGTATATAATGTTAAATTCTTAAAGAGATTGACAAAAATTAACAAAGTCGACACTTTAATTAGGAATGAGTAATATATTTTTGTGAAGCTATCATAATAATATATTAGACCTCAAAAGGTTTATTCTAAAATCGGACGTTATTTTGTGATCAAGCTAATACTATTTTCCAGTGTATACACAGGGTGTGTCACATAATTGAGAACACAATTCTGAAAAGACATTGATATAATAAAGAGGACAGTTTAATCATTAGGCATAAGTAACATACTTTTGTGAAACTATTATAATAATATATTAGACCTCAAAAGGTTTATTCTAAAATCAGACATTATTTTCTGAACAACCTAACATTATGCGTCAGACGTATAGCATTATTAAGCATAACCCCATGTACTTTATGGTCAGCAGGCTACATGAAATGTTAGTGTAGACTAAATTGGGCCTGCAGACTGTAGTATTTTGAACCCCTGTACCCTATGATTGGCTGTATAATAAAACTCCTCTAGTATGAAAAAGAAAAAAATATTTTCATGCATCCAGTATTTCTGAACTAAAATAAAATTTGCCTCCAGAAGCACCAGTCAGGGTTCAAATCCAAGCAAAGATTAACTTTAAATATTATGTTTTGCCGCAATCACTGTAAGCGACATATTTCTCCAGTCAGCTGATTTAACAGAATGCAGCAGAAAACATAGCCACATACTGAATGTGGCAAAGCCAAGTAAATACCTACTTTCATGCATTAACAGCTTTGAAATTCCAGATGCAATTCCATGGACCTTTTTTTTTTTTTTTTTTTTTTTTTGTGGTTCATGGATCCCTCCCACTGATGCAGGTTAAGGATCTCTATTTTCTTTAGACAGAATCGAAGAATGGTAACATCTGATGCCTACAGTAGCATGAAGTTCAATCAATTACCCTTTGGGAAGCCTGTCCGTAGATTTACGTGCAGGTTTTCTGAGGCAAAGCCAGCAGCTCGAGCTCCTCCATGACCATCGAAGACGCCGTACAACGCCATCCTGAAACTAAAGCACACTGGGCCGTCAACAACAGGCGATCACAACACAGCAGGTGAACTTAACGCCTTTTATGCCTGAATGATTTCTTACACAGGGTGCGACAAAAGTAATGCTCTTTTTTATTTATTAACTTTTATCGATCAAAAATAATTTTCTTATGATTGATTTGTTTAACATTATATCAACTCCTTTATGGATCATTTAATGCCAATATTTAATTTTTTGGGGAGCTTTGAAATAAATAACATGATATGATGATTTTCCAAGTGTAGCTTAGATGCAGCACAAGGCTGAAAGTAGGGGGTACCCAGTGTGGATTGAACTCACTACTCAATTGTAATTGTTCTAGTGAGACAAGCTTGGTAACCATTACACCGTCTTGAGGTTCCAAAATGGTGACTTTTTAAGCGTAGCTTAGATGTGGCACAAGGCCAAAAGTAAGGGGCACCCAGTGTGGATCGAACTCACTACTCAGTGGTAATTGTTCTATCAAGACAAGCTTGCTAACTATTACACTGTCTCGAGGTTCCGAAATGGCTTAGATGTGGCACAAAGCTGAAAGTAGGGGGCACTAAGTGAGGATCGAACTCACTACTCAGTTGTAATTATTCTAGCGAGACAAGCTTGGTAACCATTACACCACTTCAAGGTGCCCAAATAATATATGTTATTCTGCATTCACAATTGGATACATGGTCGATGAAAGACATAATTACTAGAGGTGGTGTGTATGTGTGTTTTATGTTGTAGTTTTGTTGAAATTATATTTTGGAATACCATTTGATTTAAGAAATTCTAGGATATATGGACTAATGCCATGAAGGAGTTCTTTTATGGTGATTGTTTGGTTGGTTGATTTTGTCTAGCAGCATATCAACCTTTATGGAGTATTTAAGCCCAAAATCTAAATATTATATGTTTGGTTTGGTTTGGTTTGGTTTATGGCATATCAAACTCAATAAGTTATTTAATGCAGACAAGATTTATTGCTGCTAATATTTTTTTCAAAATGTATTGCTGCTAATATTTTTTTCCAAAAATGCATTGTTGGTAATATTTTTCTTCAAAAAAAAAAAAAAAAAAAAAATTTTTGACCCCAGCTTGGGGGTTAACTATTTGTCCATAACTGGGACGCTAACATGTGCTACCACCCCGAGTCAGGGTGGACCGGAGACCAGGAATTAAGAGATGGTTCCATGCTCCTCAAAACCTCCTGATCAGAGGTCTTGCTGTTGGATGTAGTTTATCGTCTTACCCAGGACATTATTTTGTATGTAATTTTAAGCTTTCAACTACAGGTATATTTGTACATCATTTTATATTTTCAGAGTAAAGGTAGGTTTTTTAGATATATAGTTTGTAGATCATAACGTATTTTTAGATCATAGTTTGTAGATCATCACGTGTTGGTAATTTTACTATAAAAATGTATTTTTATATTTTTTCAGTTTTGCATAGTCATTTTATTATAAAGATGTACTGTTGATTTTTATTTGGGGTTCACTATTTGCCCATATCTGGTATCTTAACAGGTGCTACCACATACCTCAAGACCTCTAATCTCCCGATCAGAGGCCTTGCTGCCAGATGTAGTTTATCATTCTTTACAGGTTGGTTGGTTTGTTGTTTTGTTTTATGGCATATCAACCTCAGTGGGTCATTTAATGCCAACAAAATTTTTTAAATAGATTCATAGCGATAGTTTGGAAAAAAAGGTGTGTATGTATGTGTATATATATATATATATATATATATATATATATTTGAACCATTTTTCAATTACTCATTTTTGAGTACAATCCAACTTCTTAAGAATGTATAGCTGTTTGTATTACTGGTATTTTTTTTTTTTTTTTTAAGTATTTCTGATAATAATTTTTCCTTTAAAAATTATTGCTAGCAATAATTTTTTTTTATTACAAAGTATTTCTGGTATTAAAACCTATTTTTACTCAAGTTTGGGTGTTAACTATTTGTCCATAGCTGGGACCCTAAGAGGTGCTATCACCCCAGGTCAAGGTGGACTTGGGAACACCAGCAGGTAAGAGGTGGTTTTACGCTCCTCAAAACTTCCTGATCAGAGGCCTTGCTGTTGGACATAGTTTATCATCTTACCCAGGACGCGTTATACACAGGATGGAACAAAAATAAATTACAATATTTTAAGTAACCTTAAAAAGATTTTCACGTCAAAATATGATTTGTTTTTATTAAAAAACTATTGACATGTCCAAAATGCTCTCCTTCATGTTCTATACAACTATCAGCAACACTTTTACAAATCATTTGACACATTTCTATGTTATTTGAGGTAATTTATCAGAGAGTGCTGGTTTTAATTCAGAAATTCTTTCTAGTTTGAGCCTGTAAACAAGATATTTTAGTACACCCCACAAGAAAAAGTTTGATAGGGTTATGTTCTGGTGATCCTGATGGACCCTCAATTGATCCTCCATGTCCTCTCCCCCTTAGTTTAAAAAAAACAAACAGGTGTTACTTTTGCTGTGTCCTTTATGTCATATAATTATTAAGAGAGAATTGAAAAGATATCACTTTGACACAAACCATTTGACATGTTTCAAAGTTAATCTCCGAGAATTTATCAGAAATTGCTTATTTTAACTAAGGAATTATTTCCAGTTGGAGCATGTAAGCAAGATTTTTCAGTATACAATACAAGAAAAAATCTAGTGGTGTTAAGTATAGTGATCATGATAGTCATGTGATCCTAACGCCCTCAACTTGGAAAAAAAAAAAAAAAAAAAAAAAAAAAAGGGGCATTACTTTTGCCACACACTGTATACAACATAATTCTTAGCAGAGAAATTAAAAAGAAAACTGGAAAAATTCAGCAAAGTTTAACATAGGACACCATATATAAAATAAAAAATGTCAAAGGGTATTTTTTTTTCTCTTGATGTTACAATTACTGTATACTCCCTCAGAAATGTTTATTGTCACTCCAGTGGGTGTAAATCTGACCAAATGGTGAAAGAAAGGAAACTAAAGTGGTTGTTTCAATTAATTTGCACAAGGGTGTAATATCAGTGCAAGAGAAAAAGCTCCTTTTGACAAACCATTTACCCCAACCGCCACCATTTTGCCTAGTCTTAAGTTAAACTTTTCCAAAGAATTTTGTTAGTGTAAAGGCAATTAAATCATTTCAAACAGTGTTCTTATTTGTTCCCAGATAGAATTCAGGCATAAAAGGAAGAAAAAAAAATTTATAATAAAACAAATCATAGACAAGACAGATATAAAATACAAAAGGTTAAAAATTACATTTAGAGAACCAATTGAGTTCACTTATGTAAATTGAGATTAGGTGTTGTTATGAAAATATTTCAGTCACACTCTTTGACAGACTTTTCAGGTTTCTACAAACTATGAAGACAGAGTTGTTTTTTTTTAACAGACAAAAAGGAGTCAGCCAACCGATGAGATATATTGAGTATCATTTTTCTTTATATATATATATATATATATATATATATATATAGAGATAGATAGATAGATAGATATACATATATGTATGTATATGTATGTATATATATATATATATAGATAGATAGATATAAAGAAATTTAACAATAAAACAAATGATAGACAATTTTTATAAATAAAAATAAATATAATAATTCCAGCAATTGAAAATTGCTTTGCCATGAAACTCAGAGTTCTGCAATTAATGTAAGATAATATGTATATTTCTTAATACATATATTAAATAGCTCTGTTACTTAGCATTGAGCACTTTTTTCTTACACTATAGAGTATTTATATTTGTATACGATCAATTGGTCAATCGATCACTCACTTGTATACCTACCTATATTTACCCATTCAGTATATACATACATACACATGAATAAAGACTAAAGGAAAACTTATACTAACCGACATATTGCATCCTCTGTGCAACATTATCAAGGCAAATGCAAGAATTTTATTTTGGTACAAATATTTATATCTATAGCAAAAATGTTATTGGTTTTTCAAACTTTTTAAGTTTAAGAATGCTCATAAATATTCATTAGGTTAGCTGAAAAGTCAAGCAAACTATGGAGGACACAAAGTGACATAATTCAATGTCTAATAAATGAAAGTGAGTAAGTGATGTTTTTGAAAAAAATGTTTTATGCAAATTAGTATTTAAATTATTTTAGTTTGGGATTAATTTATGTGAATAACATGTAGTTATGGATTTAACAATTTTTAAGAAATTTTAATTTCTTTTTATTTATTAATTTGACATATTTTTATCACTTTAAATATTATTTTTAGTGGATGCCAATAATAAATAAAAAATCCATTTCTACTTTAGAAATTGCTCTGTTCATGTTTTGGATACGAAACTCAGCTGTTATGAACTTTCAAGAATCTAAACAAGAAGTGCCTAAAAGGCAGTATGCAAACTTTCTTAATCATATATACCCACACACACACACACACATATATATATATATATATATATATATATATATATATATTTTTTGTTAAATATTGAATGCCTATTATGTTTGATCATGAACAGTTCTAAGCTTCATATACAGGCTTTAGTTTCGGGAGAAAATAAAAAGAAAAATTGTCCAATCTTTGGATATTTTTTTTTATTATGCTGTTCCTTGATCTAAGCTTTTGAGTCACATGAGCGATCTGCAGAGTGGTTATGCGGACATTTAAACAAAGATATTCACCATCAAAGATGATATTCTGTTATGTTGACATAGAAGATTGCTATGTGATGATAACGGTTGCAGAATAGCAGACGCAAGTCATATATTCATGATGCCATTCTATGACGTCATACCACGTGAGAGACCAAAATATTAACAACAGAATCATATGTCTAGATGCAATGTAATGTGTTGTGACTAGTCTGAAATGTAATTTGTTGAGTGGGTTGCTTTGTTTTAATGGAGATGGCCTCCAATATCTGAAGGTTCTTTTTACTGTGTGTATGTGTGAGTATTGTTGTGTTATTAACCAATATCTGTTTAATAGAT